ACATTCTGGTATAAAAATAGAGAAGGAGAGAAAAAAGAACATTGATTTTGCTGTCACGAATACGGGTTTCTTTATTGAGCTCCTTTGAAGTCAATCCTCACCCGCAGTTCGTAGCCTTGTCACAGTCTATTACAGGTATGTCTACTACTCCTTTCCTGGCTTGTGACATTTTATTCTTATATTCATGAGTAAATAAGCTGCTGACCAAATAGTATTCACACAAAGAGGAATTCATACAGAAGGTGGCCCGGAAAAATGTTGTCTACAGTGGCTAGTACAGTGTGTACTGCTGTAAATCCATAAAACAAACTGCAGTAAGATATCAGTTAAAGATTCAAAAGTGTAAAAAGTATTTAGCTATTTATTTTTCTCTTTTGCTGGATCATCACAGTAACAGTATTTGTTTGCACTCTCCAGGAGAAGGCTGAATCTCTCAATGCATCCACAAAATGCATGAAAGGTCCATATGTCTCTAATATCAGGCATGTAAGAAAAGGTCAAATGTGGTATTGTTAAAAATAAATATTAAAGCTGCAATATTAAACTTGAGTAATGTCTGGGTTGCCCATAATCTGACAGAGAATAATCACCCAACTCTACACTTCTAAGAAGCTTTTTAGCCTTTTCAGCCCACAAACTCTGCTCTCATCAACTTCATCTAACGCAACAATCCAGCATCTCCAGGTTAGTGAAAACCAAAACAGAGCTAAAGGTGAACTTTGGACTCAATTTTGTCAGGCGGCCAGAAATGGCAAACCAAATAAAACAGGAACTGGATTGATGACTTCCCTCTTCATCACTGAAGACACACAGGAGCTCCTCTGGATGTTGGCTTGGTCAGAGTCAGACCATCTTATTCCACATATATTGGAGGAATATATGAGCCAGAGAGGTATGAGATAATATTCAGGTTGTTCTACAAACCTGGATTCACATTTGGATCTGTAAAACCAAACCGTTCATTCTTATTTGTTGGACTTTGGATTTTGCTTTCTGGACCTACCTCCCTCTGTCTCAAATGAAAATCAGCACAAGCTATGAATTATTAATACCTCTACAGCTGTCAATCATCTGCATTGTCAGATCCCAAGAAACGCATTTTTTTCTTTTGCAAATGCGTCTGGAGTTTGAAGCTGCTCATCATTCAGGAGTATTGGCTTTCTTTCAGTCCAGACTTCTTTTTTTAAAACACCCTGCTGAGACCCAACAGCAGCAAACAAAGACGTCTCTCTGGCTCGTCAGGCAATCCCAGCAGGCCTTTCAGCTCTTCATGCCTGCCTTCAGCTCCCCCGGTGCGGCGCTGCTTTGGGTCTGGGGTTTTTCCCTGAGAATGTAGACGCCCTGAACAACATGGTGGAGTTTAACCTGCTGGGGCTTGTGGCGTTTCAGTCGTATTTGTCCCAGGAAAGCCCTGTGTGCTGAAAAAAGACACACCAGGGCCTAAGACCATTTTCATTCATGTCTTTATTATGAGTGGACAATAGGGAGAGATTGAGAAGAGATGACAGTAAAACATGCCAACATGATTATATCAGGGACACCAGCACCAGCAGAAAGAGGACTCAATATTACTACGATTCAACACAGAGTAAAATATAAAATGGTAAAAATATTTTGTAAATAATATGGATCAGAGCAACAGTCCAAAAAAACAGCAAGGGTTCCCAAACACTAAGGGAAGGTAAGAGTCCAAAAAACAGAAGAATGACATAAACAACAGGAGGAAAACCACACAGCTTACAGCTGAACCGCTCACTGAAACAGAAGACAAACTGGCACTGACGAAGGGGATCACGCAGACTAAATACACAATGAAAGGAGGGTGATAACGAGGGACAGGTGACAGCAGGGCTAATGAAGGACAGGTGAAAACAATCAGGGCGGGGCAGACAATCACACAGGTGGGAAACACGCAAGGGTGTGAAGTGAAGTATCTGGAAACAAGAGAAAAACAGAGGAGAGCGGGACATGACAGATTGTGTCTACTTCATTTTGTTTGTTTGTCTGTGACAAGAGAAATTACACGCAGAAACTTACATTTCAAATTATGGGATAATTTAAGTTTTAGAGTGAAGTGAATTTAGAAAGTTAAACATTACATTTTAGGAGCAGCTTACAATTTTCTGCCATCTACGCCACAACCTGAACAAGAAATATTTTTGTTTTAACGATAATACTCTTTAATGTTCAAAATGAGTATTTTCTCTCTGACAAACTGAACCAAGCGTGACTACGACGGAGCGTGTCTTAGTTAGTGCTTAGCGGTCCTGCAGTGTGTTTGGCTGACAGAGCTAACATTACCGGGGCTAAACACAGCTAACAAAGCTAAGCGCTAACGGAACAAAATGCACAGCGGGACGGACAGTTTCTGTTGAACAGTCAACACGGAAGCCGATTCAGTTTAATAAAATGAGAGCATCGGAGTGAAAAATGCATCTGATACACTTGGTCATCACTGAGGGTTTGTATGCATTCATTCAAAGATTAGAGCAGTAATCGTTGCAGACACACCTGGTGGAGATCTGCACTCTACGGAGTGCTTTTCTGGGTCTTTATATGGTTTGATATTTCATGAAAAACTGTAAATTAAATATGCTGTAGAGTGTAGACTGATACTCCTGATGATTTACTTTGACCCTAGAATGCCCTCGGCACACGTCCTGCCTCGGTGAGCTCAGGTTGCTCGGTTCACGGCTGAGGTCAGCTAGGTGTTTGATGAACAAGAGATAATTGAGCTCACCTCCACCATCTTGGCTCCTTTCATCACATCCAGGTGAAGTCCTGGAGGAGCTTCCCCTGCCATGGTTTGTCAGTTGTTTCCACATTGTTTGACAAATTACGAACAAATTCATCTGGAACTCTGACAAGATGTGAATTTTTCCGACAACTTGCTGGCTGTTGAATTACAAAACAATGCAAATTGAAGTCGTATTGTTCCCCTAACGTACGGCATCTTTATTTAAACACACGCATCAAAAACTTCTGTACACACAAAAAGTGAAAGAAATAGTTGTTGGAGCTCAGATGGTTGGCTTTGAGAGAAACATAAATTGGTTGTCACAGTATCCCAATTCCAACACTAAAAAGGTGTGAAGAGAGGGGGTTTCAGATGCTGTTCAACCCATAGGCTTGTATAAATATTTATATATATATTTTTATTAGCATAGACTTGAAATGAAGTTGTTTCAATGTATTAAAAAAATAATGCAGCTTATCTTGCTCCATTTCTCTGGGGAGTCTTCAGTGTAGTGAAGCTTCATTTAATGCAGAGTAACTGGTAGCTTAGCTCACAACACTTTCCAAACAACTTGACCAACACTGCATACTGATGTCTTTATAATGCTAGTGGAACAAAAAAAAGAGATGCACACCAGTACTGGCGTATTGGAAAATAAATTGTATCTGCAAACAAACGGCTTCTCTACAGGGAGGTCAGAGGTCAGACGTCAGTGCCAGCTACAGAATCATGGCTGTCTGGCTGGACTTGCTCAGCCCAGGAAGCCAGGCCTTGCTGATGAATAGTCAGTTTCCCTTTCATAGAAGAATTATAATTACTTCCAGTAAATCAGTTCACAGACACACACACGCACAGACACACACACACACGCACACAACAAGCCACACCCTTTATGATCACATAGCTGTGAGTGTGACTGCTTGGTGTGTGGACCATAAAGCAGCTTTGTGTCTCACATTTAGATTAAAAAAGAAAATGTAATTTCTATAATACATGACCTGTTATCCAAATTAATTAGAATTTTCTTTAAAATATCATCATAAATCTTTGGGACTGGGTGTAGCCCAGAGACTGTGGTGTACTGGCAGCCGTACTGCCTACTATGCTGCAAAACCTGTGTGATCAGCCAATTACAGATTTCGCATACCTGTTATTATAACTTCTCTGTCGTGGAAATGTAATGACAAGCAGTGCCAATATCACTTGAAGCGTTATTAAGGAAGGTCTGGCAATGCCCTCCAAGACATTTATAGACACCATAAATTGCATTAGTCTTCATATAAATCATCTCAAGTTTTAATCTTTTCTAACAGTGGTAAACCTGACTGCCATAACTGATATAATGGGTTACTGTTAGAACTTTATGTCCCCAATTCTGCTTACAGCTCGTTTCCGTGACCTATATTAGCTCAGTTTTCTCAATCCAGGTCTCCAGGGGAACCCGTGTGAGTTGCATAAACAGCTCGTATTAAGAAAATAAGCCATAATAAACTCCACAAACAAACCGAGTTCCAGACTCTTAAAAACCGTTGACAGTCTGTGAGTGTCCAGTCAACTGTAACACTTGCATTAAATCACCACTCCTATAGGACAGGAAGTTATGTGATGGACGACACCCAAAAAATATTTAATGGGATTTCGTTTGCTCCCCGTTGGGAAAATGATCCCATTAACAAAGCATTGAAATGAGGTGAACACTGGACACTGGACTCACCAAAACGTGTCATTTTGGTGTTACCTTGATGAAGAGCAGCATTGAATATGTGACTTGTGTAAATGATAGAATTTAAACTTCAAGTTGGCGATCCACTAAACACATTGTATTTGGTTGGGAGTCACTTGTAGGGTAAGTAATGTTGTAATAGATATTGTGATTTCTGAGGCGGATCCGCTTTCCTTAATTAAAATAAAAAGTCCCAAACCCGCAATTGTAGGGAACAGGTTTTGGTGTCGTCAAGGTAGCGTGATATGGATATATGGATTGGGCCTAAGTCTCTTGTCGATAAGCTTGTGAATGTTTTGACAGTTCATCTTACAAGAGCTGTGTGTGTCGTTTGCTTTGCAGCCAACTTCGCCCACTTGTTTTCTACCTTAAATTCTGGGAAACTGAGGACCACAAGGAGACAGACATACTGTATGAAGACTGTAGCTCTTAAAGGAAAGCGTAAATAAAAAGGGCACGAGAATCATTTTTATCTTCATTATTTATATACAGCATCAAAATGCAGGGTACCCACAGATTCAGAACACAAATAACGTAAGAAGTAAAAATATATACAGTATCTGGTACAAACATAAGAAGCCTGAGCAATAAATGATACACTATAAACCCTGTGACCGTTTGCTAATCTGTCCTACTGTTTAAATATAGAGAACTAAACATCTTTAGACCAAGACAGACAAAGCCATCTGCTACACTATGTCATAACTACCTAAATCTAACCAAAAAAATCAATGTTCATGTCGACATAAAAATGTGGGTACATCCTGATCGGCTGCAATCCAGGACAACGATGCCTTCGATGCTTCTCAAGCTTCCCGGTAGACCGCTAGTGTTCTGTGGACTTGAAATGATTCTCATCCATGGTACAGAAGACGTGACCGTTATTCATCAGCGAGTTCAAGGAAGATCTGTACAGAAAGAGAGACAGGTCGCAGATTTAAGCATTTCATTCTACGTCCTTGTTTGTCAATCATCCATCATCACCCAACGTTTGCAGCCAAAGTTACGCGTTCATCCGGCACAAGAGGCACGAGGTCAAGATGTACCTGAGGTCTCTCATACTGAGGTAGTCCAGCTGTGTCAGCAGTTCATGGAAACTGATGCCAATGTCGCCGAAAGAGTACTTCCTGACTACCGTCAACACCTTGTAAAGGGAAACAAGCAATTACTCTTCAACCCTGCGGCGCTGTCATGGCATTTCACTTAATGCATGAAAGGTTTCATTTTTCATCTTTGTCAACAGCAATGTGACTTTGCAGAGACAACGTCGTGGTTACTTAGGACAGCCTCACTGTGTACTGTGTCGTCTTCATCATGGACCAACAGTGAAAACGGTCCACAGTGAGGACATTTCCTGGAAAGACACTACAGATTCTTCCAAATGCAGTTTAATAATACTTTGTAGTTATTTGTGGTATTGCAATCATCTGTAAATAATGCGATATCCAATGCAAACGTGATCATTTACAATGAGCTGCATAAAAGGAAAATCCATTCACCTCACTATACCATGAGTAACTGATTGGTTTGTCACGGAGGCAGTAATAGGCTGCTGCAATTCACTGCTGACGGACTTGTTACAACATGAGACGGATCTCGTCAAAACAAGACACCAACAACAAATTAACTAGATATTTTTCATGACCAGGACATATTCTTGTTATTGCTACATGCGAAACAATCTTTACAAAAAAACCTGTTGTGACAATATTCACTTCATCTTGTTATATCATAAACATCAACTATTGCAACCTTGCATATTTTCCAGAAATGTCACCATTGCTAACTTTGCACTCTTAACCTCCATTGTACAGATTTGGGGAAATGAGGAGTTGCACTAAACATATATCAGAGTGAACTGACCCTTTAAACCCACTCACCTGAGCATGGAGGGAGGACAAACCATTCGGTAAGATGTCTTTAAGATCACCACTATGCTTGAGGACTCTTTCAGACCGCGAGGCAGCAGTGGTATTCATATTCACATCAAATTCCTGAATAAACAACATAACAAACGGAGAAAAAATCCCAAATAAGGGCCAAAATACCTTTATCAACTCTTCAACTAAAGTATTGAGTACATGAAAATGTCAAATCTGGGTTCCAGTGTTGAATGTTTGTATCTCTGTCTGAAATCTGCTCCATAAATAAGTTTTGAGTCCGTTTGCTGGTCAAAAGCTTCCACAAGCGTGTGTACCTTTCCAAAAAGCTGCATATGAGCATGCACCACTTCCAACATGTGGGATGTGATCTCATTCAGGTCCTCGATACATCGGCTATTTACTGCCAGCAATGACCTTTGGCCCTGGAGCAACATTAAAAAAAAAGGAATACATAACAGATATTATCCCAAAAGCAATGCTCACATCATTTTAATCATCTCTTTAAAGTGTTTGCATTGCTTACATTGAACCTGCATAGACTTCCAGTAACCTTCACATATGTCCCAGGAGAGGTAAATGTCAGAGTGCAGTCCTGTGAGAAACAGAGTTTGAGACGTATCATTTAGCAAAACAGCGCGGATTGTTTTCTAGATGCAGTCGTAAACAGATCCTGTTGATGCTACTGGCCTCTGCGTTAACCCACTGCTTCACGTTTAAAGGTGGACCAGTCATGTCATCCACAGAGAACTTGATGTTCTTCACAAAGGGAGCAAAGCCTCTGATGATGCCAACGACAGACACCTGCAGCACAGCGAGAGGAAGCACAAGCAGTTATCCTCAGACCAAACTCCATTCAAGAATGTGGCAATTTTGGATATTCTTTGTTTTCCTGCAAATGAGAAAAGGCAGCGTTAACCTGTTTTTTTTTTGTTTGTTTTTTAAATGGAGTTTTGAATGACACCCTGGAAAGCATGGTTGGCACATGATTTAACGTTTCAGAATCAAAAAAATCTTTTTTAATAATCTGGACATTTTCACATTCTCCCTGTAGACTGTTGGAGTCACATAAGAACCATATGCCAGAAGTGGGACAAAGTTATTGTTTTGCAAGTCACAAGTCACTCTCCAGGTCAAGATCAACAAGTCCAAAGTCGTGTCCAAGTCATAAACTGTGTGTTTCAAGTCATTATTTGAGGCCATTCTTGATCTTGGAAACAGCAAGTTGGCAAAACAATCTCACCTCAAGATCCATTAAGCAGTGCTCTAAAGCTTTTGATAATAATTCTCGTTTTTCTGAGCACATTAAAAGAGATCCCATCATTGTCTTCAAAGTAGCGTTGCGTAATGTCTGCTGGGCACTGACAAACACATTTCCTTCCTCATTGCACAACATGATTGTCTGTCAGATTGGTTTAAAATGAGACGAGGAGTTGAGAAACACACTGCACACATTGAAAACGCAAATTTGGGGAATATACTCGAGGTCCCCTTGGGGATAGATCTCATTCACTCAGGTCATCCACCAACAGGTCAACTTTTCAACCTGTCCAATACTTTGGTTTATGATCAGAAGCATTGGCTGTGACTTGATCCTACCAAGTCAAAAGCCTAAAGTTAGTCGACTTGCAAAGTCTTGACTCGAGTCCAAGTGATGCGACTGAAGTCAAAACCTCAGCCCTATGCTTCATAGGCCTTTTAAACAGGAGCATTTTTGTCCCTGCAGGTAAACACAGGTGTAATTAATGACATCAATTATGGCCCTGTTCCATTTAGGTGAGTCAGGGCCTCGGTACTGCTCCCTGGAATGGCTGGGACACACCATGTAGAATGGGAACGATCATTTTCAATTTGATCAATTACACCAGTTTCATTAAACTTGCAATGAAATGTCAAAATGGCTGCTGTGAAACAAGACTTTTAAACAGTGACGTGCATTCATGTGGCGTGAAATCCTCTTTAGATTTTGTTTTATTGCTCCTCATACCTGGTTGAGTTCAAAGCCACAGATTGCAAAGGTGTGGCCGAAGTCTTGAGAAGCAGACAGCAGCTGAGACACTGTGCACGGCAAAATCTGAAGAGTCGTCCTCTGTGGAGATCAGGGTGAAGGAATGCATTACAGTCTGCGTCAACACATTTTCTTCAGATCCTCCACACATTATTTCAGTTAACAGAAGGTAGACACACCTTTAATGTCTCTGCTTTCTGGCTGCTCATCCCGTCAGCAGGCTGACTGCAAGCTGTGTAACGTGAAAAAGACACTTTTAACCATTTTAAGACAAAAAGGAGAAGGATGTTCTTTGTTGGGGGCGACATCAACATTTGCTACCTTACCTTGGTTCCACATGACAAAATGTCTTCAGTACAAAAACTACAGTCAGGCTGGAGCCACTGGGAGAATACAGCTAATTTAGCTAGCGCTCTTAATGATCAGGCCATCAGGTGAACTGAATTATAGCAATTACCTGTGATGAAGTGCAGAGCCAGAAGACAATGAGCGGAGGAGGAAATGGACATTTGCATGCTCCATTTCTTCAAGCAATTCAATTATTATTTGAATCCAATTTTTATTAAAAATCAATTCCAACAGTGACCGACAGGTATTCACACCACTTTTGATAAACTTCATTTAATCTCTTCAAAATATGTTACAATGACATAAGAGCAAAGATTGTTAATACAAAAGAGTGTAAGAAGACGTTGACCGATTTATTGTCTGGCATGACTCCAGGTGGTGTTCATCTAACACATTAATTATTTTATGGTGGGAGTAGCCCTGATCCAGGACTCGTATTGGGCATCACAGTCCTGCGTCTATCTCCTGGAAATTAAGATATCTCAGAGGCTGAGTGGCCCATAAAGTTGATTAGAGGAGGAATGTTGACCATCTGATCTCACTGAATGATCGGCAATCTTCTTAGTAACCGACAAGATGGGGAAATTAGTTTACACTGGTTCAAAGAAACAAAAACTTGATTTTCTCTGCACCAAGAAAAGGCTGTAAAAACGAAAAAAAATGGCGGCAGCTGTCTTCCACTGGTGGCCATAAATTGTTAAAGCAATATTACTGAAAAACGTTTACTGGGTAAGCTGCCTCTCAATTCCATGCTGCACACCAACTGTGTTCAGTATGTTCCATATATCATTAAAGTATAGTGCAGCAGTTTCATACTAAAAGCAAATGATACTACGGCTGTCCTAAATCCATACTACACTTTACTTCTCAGCTGAGTTCAGGCAGATATCAAAGGTGCGGTGGGGCTGTGTATGCTGGTCCTGGATCAGGGCCGATAACGTGCTGAGGTTTGATTCATGTCCGGTACCAGGCTTTGTATACCAGCTTTGCTTACACAAATTCACAAACGATAGGCAAATTAAGAACACACAGTTATCACCAGCACACCCACAGTATTGACCTGCAAACATATATCACATCTCTTCCATGAAGGAACCAAAAGCTGAATTAAGAGCTGAAGAAAAAAAATTGAATCCATCACAGCAATTTACAAACAAAGTCGGGCTCTTGAAAACAGAGCAGTCAAATGTACATCAACATTGTTCATCCCCCGTCGATCCTGTACAGTATGTACACATGTGCAAAGGAATACAACAAATCAAAGGGTGAAATCTCTAAATACCCTAGACCTAGTATTTGTTTGGCAAACGTCTCAAACCTCACACAGGAAGCCAACCACCCCCTTTCTTGTCTAGAAGGGCGGAAGGAAGAAATCTGGTCGGACATGACTACCCATCATCCTCTCTGCTCAGAGCTCCGCGGATAAGGGTGACCTACTTTGGGTCCAAACTTTGCCGCTCGCAAACAGAAAAACCACAAATACCACATTCTTGAGGGAACGCAACATTGTCCAAAGCAGCATGGACGCCCTGCAGTAGAGACAGGTTGTAATACTGATTTGTGGTATTGCTATTCGTATCGAAGCGCCCGCCGAGTCGGTGAAACGTGGCGCGTTCCTCAAGCACAACTTCTGCCAATCCTGTGTTTGAGTGCAATATCAATGAGGCCACTTCAGTGTCACAAAGAAAACTGGTGAATTTCAGAAATAAGGCAAATCTCAATAAAAAAAAAATGAATTTTCCTATACAGTTTGAGAGCAAAGAAGCCAGGACTGTTTGGTTTTACATGTTCCTGTAAAAATTAGTATAAGTGCACAAATTATGTATGACCTGAAAAGGCAAAAGGGGTCCCGAGCACGATCCTCTGCCAAGTGCTGCAACAACTTAATAGGCTTAGAATTAGCCTGTCGGAAGCATGAAGAAAGGGATTACTGTAAGATCCAGAGCCAAAGGAAACGAGGAGCAGTGACACAGTGAGAGCAGATCAAGTTAAACACAACAGTATTATGTCTCTCCCCCCCCCCCCCTCAAAGAAAAGAAAAAAAGAAGCAGAGATCCTCTGGCTCACGGAGGATTGTGTGCACTGGTGTCTTCTCTCGCTTCCTCCCTGAAGGTGAGAGACACCGCATGCATAAGTAGACTGTTGGCTGACATTGTGTTCGCTCGGTAAACACATACCGACGCAGTTTATCGCACCGAGTCCAGCCTCACGGAGCTCCTCCTACAATGCAGCAGGTAGTTATGAGGAATAAATATAAACAACTCAATAAAAGTGCTTTCATTTAGACTCATTCAGGTCTAAATGGACTCGGATGTAAATATTCATGTCGCTGCAGCTCAACCTTCAGATAATTAAATTTTTCCTTAAGCAACATAGAGATTTGCCACTCCGCCAAGTCTTTTGAACGTAGGCCGGTGTGCTCGGTTGTTTGGATAATTCTGGTAAATTACAACTTTGGTTTTGTTTTCACAGTTTGGGACATTATTTCTATCGGCTGTGATAACAACGGGGCAAGAAGTGCGATCGGACAGGTTGTTTACAAGTAATCAGATTACCTTAACTGGTTTATTTGAAAAGAGGTGCACCAGAAATTTTGGTGATTATCCCTCATTAGAAAAAATAAATAAATAAATCAAAGATCAAATGTTTCAAAGATTACCAAACACTTGAAAAACAACGCGTAGAGTCAGCATGTTTTCACATCTTACTCAGTGAATTAAGGTCGATGATTGTTGGAACAGTGGAAAGATGATTATCCAAGATGATTTTGGTTATTAATATGAAAATAAGAACCAGTACTATCATTATAGCTCTCTTCCTCATGTACTGTGTGAAGCGCTTTGTGTTGAATGCTCTACAGAAATAAAGGGGACCTGTCTGGATCCTTATACATTCTGCTACACTGGTTTGGGGGGGGGGGGGGCGTGTCTGGGACCAGTCCACTTATCTTGAAGTCTGTAGCGAGCAGAAAGAGGAAAGATCAGACCACAAACACCTGCTGGCTGGTCACTAACTGATAAAACGTTCCCCGCCCATAAAACCAACAAAGCAGCCTGCAGAAAAAAAAAAAAAAAGTTATCTTCAAACCAAAGATAATTTTGTTTTTTCCCCACTCAGACTACTGAGCAAAACTCAACAGCGACAGTAGATGTTTGTCTACAAATACCACCATGCTGTATGTTTTACCTGAGCATTCAGGGCATTCCTGCATTTAATGCCAACAACAATCTTGACGTAGAGATGAATGCCGGCTGAAATCAGTTTGCAAGTCAAGGTTCTGTCAAAGCCTTCCAACACTCAACACACATGGACGTGATTGTGTCTTGATGTCGGCCCTTTGGATAACTGTACGCTGCAGTGATCACAGGATAATGTCTCATATTGCATTTAGGAACAAATTAGCACCGAGTCCAGGATGGCATTTGTAGACAAACCGTCTCGGTTTCACTTTCGACTTTCTCTTCTCATTGAATCCAGAACTTCTGGGGTCATTTTAGCTCTTCCAGCACGCTCGAGTGATTCCGTGAGGAGGAAGAGGAAGCTGTGATGTGATTAGCCTGAGACTAAGCTGCAGCTTGGAGCAGCGGCAGCAGCAGCAGCGACGGTGGGTGTCACACCTCTCCCCTCCAGTATAAAAGACACAGCTAGCAGAGGACTGCATGTGTTCGGACAGTCAATGAAGTTAAGCCATGACCAACACAATGACTATTCTAATTATTGTTCCCGAGTTAAAAAAAAACAAAAACGATAACCCCCTGTTACGTGATCTAGGTTAACGGTAGCTAATGAGATGTGTACAATGTCTCTGGTGCCGTGTGCTCGGCCATCACGTGTCCCAGTCCAGCTCTCTGCAGGCGATGCGGACCAGCCGGAGCTCCAGTTCAAAGGCGTCGGGCCGCTCCTGAGGGTTGGCCGACAGCATCTCCCTGATCAGCTGCTTCATGTGGCTGTTCATGCTCTTTTTCCTGGCGGGGATTAGCAGCTCCATCTTTGGGTTCTCCAACAGGGCCTCCCCTAAGGGCACGATCTCCGAACCCTGCTGCACGTAGCTCCCCAGCAGCTCCTTCTGAGTCTCCACGTCCACGAAGGTGATGCGCTCCACCATGGCCCAGATGATCACCCCCAGGGCGAAGATATCCGCTTTGGCCGTGTAGTGGCCCTCCCAGACCTCCGGGGCCATGTAGAAGTCCGTTCCGCATGCCGTGGACAGGAAGCACTTGTTGATGCTGGCCGGCTCCTCCGGGTTGAGCCCGGAGGTAGAGCACACCTTGCTCAGGCCAAAGTCGGCCACTTTGAGGGTGGGCTCGGACGAGCCGGCCGGCGTGCAGGCCTGGGAGATGAGGATGTTGTCCGGTTTGAGGTCGCGGTGGATGATCTGGTTGCGGTGCAGGAAGGCCAGGGCGCTGCCCAGCTGCAGCATGAAGCTGGTGTTGGTCTTGCGGCTGGGCTTGCGGGACAGCAGGTAGGCGTTCATGTCGCCGCCGTCGCAGAAGTCCATGACGAACCACAGGTAGTAGGCACAGCACGGGTCGAATGTGATCTCACCCTTCAGAGACGTCTCCACCAGCTGCATGCAGAGAAAGAAACACTTAAAGTCAACATGACACCACTGGTGATGGTCAACCTCTACATGCTGAACATGTTGGTTTGCTGGCATCAGAATGTTTTGCTTTGATTACTGTGGCCATAAATATTATGGTAAACAGTATTATCATTGTCAAGCTCTGCTGAAATACAACCTATAGGAAATAGGGATGTCAGTTTCGGTTCATTTTCCTTTCGATAGCAAGAAAAAACTCAAACCACAAGAGACAACGCTGCAACAAGCAGAAGCAAATAGAAGACATCACTTAGGTCTGGTCTAGCTGACATGATTATTGATAGCGTGAACCAGCTCTGCAGGGTGAAATGTCACTCATAACTTAACAAGCAAAGTTGTTCTGGCTTTGTATTCATAACGCGTTTCCTCACCGTCCTTTATTAAACCAAAGCAGAGTGAGAGGCCTCATCTTTTATACCGGCTGCAGGAAGTCATTTAATCTCACTTTTTGACAGCAGACCACGAACCTGTGAGGCTTCATCCATCTCGCGTTACATTAAGATTAAACGGGATGTGTTTCTGCAATTTAATAGGCGGCGTTTTGTATTAAGACACTGAAAAGCTGCAGGTTTGTAACAGAAAGATGTAGATGATCATCGGCTGCATTTGTAGGAAAATGTCGGCGTGCTTGCAACAAAGACTTTTCATTTGGAAAGTTAAAATAATGCTAGAAGTTTACGCGGCAGTTAAAACGGAAACTCAGGGGAAGGCTTAAGTTGATTGGAGTTAAAGCGCTATCCCTCCATGTTTACATTGAAAACAATGGAGGCAGCCTCGACCGATATCTGAAGGCACCTTTCAGATTATTATTTCGCACATCAATATGTATTTTAACTGTTTCCTCATGAATACTATCTCCCAACACTTGAATATTATACATTTGTTTGGTGTTTTTTCATCACTCCTCTGGTGTGTAAAGGCCTTAAGCAACGCTGAAGGTAGATGAAATATCAATTAAAGAGTAAGAGAAGAATTGAAAGGAGTTGATGTGTAACCACTAAAAGCAGTTGAAACGTACATTGTAGAGTCAGAGATGAATGCAGTTGAAATGTCAGTTGAAGAGAAAGACGTGTTTGCACTTTTGAATAGCTGAAGTAGATGAACTGTTAACTGGAGAGTAAAAATCAGTTGAAGTGTCAGTTGAGGCTCAACCACACATTGAGGCTTCCGACACCAACTGCTTTACAAATGCTCTGAATGTGTGTAATAGACCATTCCCAGTGCAAACTCTGCTGTAAACAAATGCAAATTGTTCGACATGCTCGGAGCCAAAGAATCCCCCCCCACCCCCCCAAAAAAAAATGAATAGATGCAAATTATCCCACAGTTGGTGCGGTCAGATAATTCCGCCCTATTATCATTTGTTCTCGTGTAAGCGCGTACTGGAACATTACAGGGCAATAAAAAGGGATTCTGGGAAAGTGTCCAACGCTAGCGCTGCGGAAAACGGAGCGAGCGGTCTGACAATAGCCCCCGCGTGCCGCTGAGAGGCTATAATCAGGCACCGGCAGAGCGCCTGTGTGCCCGCCGTCAGACAGCAGGGAGGCATCGCAACATGACAGGCTGCAGACAGGTTGACTAGGGAGGGGAGGGGAACCTGACAACACGTTCATGTGACTATGGGGGACATCGAGGCCAAAGTCGACACAGATCCAACCAGAAAACTTCCATTTCTTCTGCTAATGCTCATCGGCATCACGCAGAGGAATATATTGTTCATTATTCCAAGCGCCAATATTTGTGCCGTCTAGATAATTGTAATCTCCACAATATGAGTTTACACAACAAACAGCATTAGCTTGCTGCTGATGACTCACTTTGAGCTACTGGGTGAATCACTGACATTTACATTTAACCTATTAGCTTTACATTGTCACAGAAAAAAACATCTTTGCCAACAGCAAGATGTCAACAGCGGTGGGTGGTGGATGGACAAACAGGCTAAACACATGTCAGAGGATATCACGGTACACTTTGTCAATCAAAACGAGCTTCCAATTCATTACAAGAAATATAGCGTCGGTCTATTTTAAAAACACCAACAAGTGTTTGTCAAACGTCTGCCAACATGTCACATTACAGCGGGTTGAGCTGGATTCCTCTCCTGGCTGAGATCAGCATCTCTGTGACTTGTGGACCGGAATGTTTGGCCCTTTGTCTTGCCAACCGAGTTTCAGTACACAAGATATTAACAAGATCTGCTTTCGGCAGGCGTGTAAGCAAACAAACAGTCTTAGGTAAGGGGCCACTGTGTAAGGCGGATAATAAGATAACATTAACTGATCTGATGCAGCCGATTTACTGTTACGGGCACTTTAAAATTGAGGTTTATGGTTATGTTTGGGCCGCCAGCCGAGCTAAAGACAGATTCATTTTCACTAATCATGATAGACTATGTACATTGGTTTCTGTCTCCGAGGTGTCATGTGGTAATGCTCAGACGCTATTCAGTATTTTTCTAAAGCATGCGTTGGCAACATGGACAGCTGCAGGAGAGATGTTTTGTCCGACACACTTATGTGGAATCCAGATCAAGCATTTCTGCTCCCTGTAACTCTCCAGTACTTGACAGTCTGGTTATTCCTCCTCATTACAGAGCAACAACTGCTGTGCGTCTATGCAAGTGTTAGTTTGTATCCATCATCTAACCTCGGCTTAGATTCCCTCGGTGAGATTTCTTGCACACGACAATTCAAAGTAAAAGTCATAATCAATCGTCTTTGCTGGAAGACTTTTACTCTGAAGATGCAGCAAGTGTTGAGTATGCACTTCATCAGTACAGTAACAAAAAAAAAACATCAGACAGTCAGTACTTATCAGGCCACATTAAGGAAGTAATCAATATCCACTCACAGCCTAAATGCTGGGTGACGTTAACAATATTATTAAGCTAGTGTGTGAACCCTGTTCCAGTGAATCCTGTCTCCTCACCTCCAGGTAGAGTGGGGAGCTGGAGCCATGGCTCATCCTCTGGGCCAGCTGGCCCCGCTGCAGGATGCACTCCTCCAGGTGGATGACGTTTGGGTGCTGGCTTTGGATGCTGCTGAGGGCCCAGAACTCCCGCAGTGCCAGCTCCACATTCTCCGGAGAGTGGCAGCGGATCTTCTTCACCGCCACCCGGGCCCCCGTGCGCTTCACTACCGCCTCATAGACCACGCCGTAACTGCCACGCCCCACCTCCTGGATCAGCTCGTACTTCGGCTGGCTGCTTACCATCCTAGTCCTCACTGTGGACAAAGGACATGGGGTTAGTTCACTATTGACTGATCTCACACTGTAGGCTACGACTAGCTGATTTTATAAGACTTACAACATATTACAGTAAGTAAAAGCCACAACAAAGACAACCAATTAATCCAAGTAACTCATATTAGCTTCAGTCAAGCTCTGACTGTTGCTTACATCAGTCTCTTATGATATAGTTAAGTATAGGAGTCATAGTTCTGTTATTCGGGCATCACTTGTTAGCAAGCAGCCTCATATCTTTGCTAGGGGAAAGTATATTTGGCATTTCCCCCACGGTCTAGACTCTCCAAAACACCTTTGGAAGACAACATTATTGTCCTTGTGGACCAGTAAACCTGACATCTGTCCCCAAACACAAAATACATTTCCTTTTTTCTGAATCAGTGAATTTCTCTTAAAATTTCTGATACACGTTTCTTGGCCTTGTTATCAAACTCCTCATTACATCTAAATACTCCCCCTGAAGTTTTCATATAGGTGTTAGCTGCCAACAATGCCCACTTGATTGGCATGTTGGTGGTACTCTGATAGATAATTGACATGTGTTCTTGCTCCCTGAAGCATAAACAATCTTTATTTTCCCTCAAATAAACACAACAGCCTCCCTACTTGTAGCTCTTATAATCACCCAATATGATGGCGGAGCACATCTTATAAGAACAGCAGCTACAGTAATCTCTAAACCACTAACACAACACAATGAGGGAACCGACACACCACTCCTTCACCAACACTATCAGCACATTTACAGCACTGCATGTCCAACCACACCTCATTTTAGAGCCACGAAATGTACCACTGTGTTAAAGTGACACCGAGTTTCACAAACTGGTATCTGTTCCAGGGTTATTATGTCGCCTTGTCGAGGTGTTTATGACTGCATGTCACACCAACATGCGATTATCCCCCAGACATCGCTATGCCACCGAGGCCTGGCGCTGCAAAGAAGTTTACATTTAAAATGGGATTGTGTGGAAAAGGCTCACCTCCATCATCAGTGTCACTCATCCTTATTGTGTCGTTGCATAATCCTGATACACCTGTCGGAGCAGAAAATAGCACTGAGGCTGCAAATACTGGTGCTTTTATAATCAGGTATTCTAATAAATTCAGCCTTGATGAAGAGACTTAAGTACTTCTTAAAGAGTAGATGAGAGAGAAGATGGGGCCTGGCCTCTTTACATTGGGGATGTTATTTTTATAGTTAATTAGATTAAATTATTTGAATGATTAATCAATTCATAATTTAGTGCAAGGTGACAAGTACAAAGCCCAAAGACATTTAAGTTACAATGATATAATACAGAGAATAGCAGCACATATTCACGTCTGAAAGGCAGGAAATAGATCATGTTATGTTTTATAAATAGCTTAATCGCTGTCAATTTATTGCTGGCGATTGACTGATTAATATATATACACATGTTACATACTGCTATCTGCTTGACTAAATTAATGACGAGTGGGTCACCATATTACATACAAGTAACCTTATTCAAACTATTGAAGTACTGCTTTCAGTAACAAACTATAAGCAAAACAGCTGTTTCCCGAACTGAACTAAAGATGACAGTAAATACACTTGACACTGTCAGATTTGGTGATGAGAAACATGTCTGTCTCTGTTGACAGAGCTGTAGCCAGCTTGCTAAGTGGCTAATTAGACATCCACTTGGCTGATTGGCAAACAGGCTAACAGGCCGCCGACAGCTAACGATGTTGTCGGTGAGCTAACGTTAGCTAATCACGTTTAACACCAGCTAACAAAGAGTCCAGCTCTCACCAGCACAGCCGACATATATACACGCTAGATGCAGACGTATAAATTAAAGCCTCATAAAAGTCTCTGACTCCTAAACTGTCCTAACGTCTGGGTCATTGGACAGCGTATTGTCCAGTGTGTGCGTATGTGTGTGTGCGCGCATGTATATATGTGTGCGTGTGTGTGTGTGTGTGTGTGTTCCGTCAAGAATTCAACCAGATTCCCTCAAAACACACCTGCGAGCCGAGCAGACGAGTAGCCACAGCAGAAGAAGACAATGGTGTAAACGTAGAAGAAGAGGCTGCTGTTGTTGTGCTGCAAGTTGTCATCTTTTCATTCTCACCTTCAAATCTTTTCCTCTGGGGTTCATTTGTTGTCTTCCTCACTCTCCCTGGCAGCCATTACCGCCGTACACGTTCTCTGCTCGCACAGTCAAACCCAAGGAGGTTTGTCAAACACTGGACGACGTGAGAGCGTGCAGCTGCTGAAGCAGAGTGCGTGCAGCGCAGAGGTGTGAAACTTCCGGCTAAAGCGTTTCAAAATAAAACTCCTGTGTGTGAAGGAACAATAAAACATTCTGTGATCCAGTACAAAATACATACATATTTTCATAATGCGCAAACATGAAGTAATTTGGAAATATGGACCATATAAACAATGTTGGATTCAAATAAAGTAGCGAAAACTGCTAATAACACCCACATTAGTGGCACAGTGACCAATCACCATCACAACTTTTGAATGTTTTATATTTATTTTTAGAAATAATTATTGAGTAATGACCAAAGTGCAGTCTGATCAAAAAATACGTAATTAATCATATATATTATTATAATATAATAACTGTAAAAGTCTCATTCCAACAAACACAATCCTAGTCATTATATACTAAGTTGATGACAGGGCTTGTTACTGAATGACAAATTATATTAACGATACACATTATTTCACATGTGCTTACTTTTACAGTTACATATCTATAATCTACCAATTTAATTGATCAGTTGTTATTTTCCCATAAGGTGACAATTTCATACACTTTATTTTGAGGGGAAATAACAGCGGTTTCCGGCCCTACCCTCGGCAAAATGGCTAGTTTTATGAATTTCCCCATATAATGGGCAACCAGTCAGTACAATGCGGAGGCCCTCTGCGCTCCCCTTTCAAACCGAACTGTCACTAACAGGGGGAGGACACAAGCACATGAACACCTGCACAGATCTATGCATGCCATTCTTCCTGAAACTTTATTTGACATTTTTGTTGAGATACTGACATAGAAGTGTGATAAAAGTCTACAAATTGTTCTTTATGGCATTGTTTTTTGGTGTTCTTCAGGATGAAACCAAGGTATAATTTCCTAAGCAGTAATTTGAGGCTGATGAGTTTATTAAATAGGTCTATAACTGTAAAATATCTGCATTCCTTCCTTGATGTTCCATCAAAGAAAGGCTATTTATTTGCGGATGACGGGCACAATATCATACAAAGCACACTATTTCAATGCTACAATTCTGATTAAACTGATGTTTGATCGTGAAAGTTCACTTTCAACCTTTAAAACAGTAATTTCACCACAAAACAGAAAAATAACTCAAGGTCCATTTAGGTTTTTCTCAGAGCTTTCAACCACCTCTTTGTTTTTTATCAGTGGAGTTTGCTCAGTTTTCATGCAACTTGGTTTCATACTTAGGTCACATGGTGACAACTGAGCTATCTTAACAACAACTGAGCAAACCCCATCCGCTGAGGAAAAATAAACACCTAATCTAGCACCTTGAATTAAGTACTTATGTTTTAGATTTAAAATCTTTTATCAGAAATCTGAATTTCTTCAGTATCCATCTCTGGTATACATTGCACAGAAGTTAGATTGATTATGACATTTGTCAAAGAACTGATCAATACAACAATACACTAGTCGTCAGAAGAACTTGGACGGAAATCTACTATTACCCTTTGTACTTACTCATAACAATATTTAAAACGTGAACCTGATATCAATGTCTCTCAAAAGTAACTAACAGTCATTAGCATAAAGTCTAGATACAAGAAACTGGTAGATGAAACACAAATGTTCTGTTAGATCTTTAATTACCTTTGTATTGCAAGCATGGTGGGGAGATGATCCAAATTGAATAAAAACTCAAACATCAAGTTAAATAAGGTTACAGTTTGTGTTCAGAACAACCTTGAGAAAAAAGTATTGAGAAAAGGTGAAACTTAACCCCAAAATCATCATGAACATGCTCAATCCAAACATTCTTTATAATGCATGTTTATGGTGAGGTGTGTCTGCTCTGCAAAGTAAAGATATGGTTGTTTCTTCGCAGAAGAATGCAAGTGAACATCTTATTTGTATATTTATCAGTTCTGTTGTGTCTCTCTATTTCCCGGAAACAAGGCTAAGACGTCATTAAAAAGCACCATTTTGGATCTCTTGTTATATTGGCAGCAACAACGGGCATAAAGATACCAGAGAGAAATTGTAGAGTATGTTCTATGAGGTAGCACACATTACACTGAAAACAACATCTAAAAATACAATGTAATAAATACTTGTATGGACCACTTAATACACAAAAGATTTACAATACATACAAAACAGTTTTTTGGACATGCTGTTCTCAAGCTGTCCAAAATCACACCTGAGGTAGATTTGTATAGATTTTTGACAAGACGAGTTCTGTCTTGGTCACACATAAGAAGCAATACAAACAACAACAAAACAACAAAACACTGGGACTTAGGCTAAATTAGAGTGTTATAAATGGTAGATTAGACCCCCATTGCACTGCAGCACGGTGAGCATCATGGTGAACTCAAGCACATAATATAGGCGTAATGATCATTAATGACGATCAATACTGATGCTTTAGAACATCCTCTGTGCTGTGAAATCCCTGGGCTCAGTCGCCGGTCCCCTTCTACATGAAACAGCTAATCTATTATTCTACTCATTATCATGCAGACACATCATGAACATTATATTAATACAGTGTGGAGAAAAAAAAAACACTAGATATATACAATTTAAAAAAAAACAGATAAGAGGATAGATGTTTCCCCCCTGAAGCAGCGAGCTACAGGAACCATTAGCCTGGCCGATTTTTAAAATACACCATACCAACATCTATAAAGTTCACTAATTTACAGAATTATGTCCTTATATAACATAATATAACATGTTAAGTAATGAGTTTTATAAGTGCTGGTGGGCATTTTCTTCAACTTTGGACACAGACAAGCTGGCCGTGTCCCCCTTGCTTCCAAGCTTGATGCTAAGCTAGGCTAAACCCATCCTGGCTCCAGCTGCGTATATGCCTACTTGATGCACAGGCATGAGAACAATACTAATCTTCTCATCTCACTCTCGTGAAGAAAGCAAATCAATAAACAACTTCTTCAATGCTGTAAATGGAGAGTGCATGTGAAGACTCCCTGAATATAAACAAACTCCAAAGCCTGGAAACTAAACTATGCTGATGCCTAGTTAGCAAGCTAACTGGCTAATCTATTAGCTATGTAGCTCACTAAGGCCATGTGGATGTCATGGCGTAGGCCAGGTGGCTACATGTTAAAGCATCGTAACAGACCGTTAAACCTTTTGAAATATACTTCATCAATCAGAAAAAAAACAGGCTACGACTTCCCTCTACAGCTGGCGGAAAAAAAGGTTCTGCCGTCCCACTCTATTGTTGCTGAATATCTTACAAAGACATCACATTGTCCATGTTTGACCACTTTTCCATGTCAAATACAATAGCAAAAGAACAACCCCCTAGTAAGAAAAGCAATGCACATCATGCTGAAAGATGCACAAAGTGTGGACACAGTACTTCCTGGTCCGTGTTGCGTATCAGAAAATGACATTAAGATAGTGCATGGCTCATTTGGCAGCGGATGCGTCGGTTCTTCCGGCACCCCAAGACAGTAAAAATTAAACATCTAGACAAATCCTAAAAGACACTAGATCAAAAAAGTTCTCCCTGAGTTGAAAATGAAGACGCTAAATAAACTGATTGCAGACTGAGGTGAATGATAAAGCATTAAATTAAACACTAGAACGCTGTGAGTTTTCACTGTGCCAGTTAAGTTGTAGATTTGTAAAATGACGCCGTTATAAGTGCACTGTCTGCAAACAATTACACGGTAATAGAATCATCAGAATTTGTCAAAAAAAAAGTTGTGACTTACTATCACAGCATGTGTACAAAAGGAAGCCAAAAGATTTTTGAAGATATTTCTGAATCACATCACAAGTCACAAATGAAACTATTACAGCTGTCAAATGTTCAGTCTGCCCTTCAGGGAGAACAACTCTGCATAAATAGGTAATATAAAAAAGATAATATCTATACACATTCAGCCCCTTCACTAAAATAAGTGAAGACAAATTGTTTATGTGAAAAATCCCTGACATATATGTGTGAACGTTTCCTTCGGATTAATGCTGTTTTACAAACAAAGTCTGCCATACAATCAATACTGGTCTTGCATATAAGTTCAAATGATGAAATGGCAACTTGGTAATTAAGACGTAAATTTCCCCACTACTGGGAAATAAAAGTTGAATTATTGTTTTTGTGTGTCGAGTATGACAGTTGAAAGCAGTTCTCATCAACCCCATTGGGAAGTGGAGGTTATGGCACTTATGTTGTAACATTCACTTTTCACTATAATACCTGAAAATGTTTTCCTATAAAGGCTGACACAAATAACTTTTAGCAAAGTATTTGGCAGCCCGGGATATGTGTTCTCTCATTACATTCACATGTTGGATTGTTTACCTCATCTTTCAAACGTAGTAATAAAACAAAACTGTAATAATGCAATGTTTGATTATCGATTTACAACAAAGTATTAGGGATGCTTTTTTTTGAGAATTATATTTTACTTATGTTGTAAGAAGAATTAAGTCATCATTTTGAAAAGAAAATGGCTTATTTTTACGAGAAAAAAAAAAGAAGTGGAATGGTAATGTAATATTTGACATATTACATATGGGAAAAAAATGTTAAGTATTACTACGAGATGTTTACTACAACTTTTCACGCTATTTGTGACTTTTATATTTTTGACTTCTCAAAATTATACGATTTTTATTCCCCTCGCGGTCGGCGACCCTAATACTCTGTGGTGTCACTTGACCTGCAAACCAAACCCACATATCAGAGAGTTGTAAACCAGCAAGATGTTATATTTTGTAAGTAAGTCTGATTGTTTCATTCTAAAGCTAAGAAACTTATCCGAGGCAGAAAAACAACGTAGAAAGAAAAATAAAAGTTGTCAAAGTGGACATGTCTGCCAGCGCTCTATTGAACAACGCATCACATCAGCAACACAGTGATGACTCCTACTTTGCCGCTCAATAAATATAACCTGAGGTAGCTCTTTCTATAAGCAGTGTTCCAGTGAAAAACCTCGCAGTTTCCCTCGATCGCTCACTCAGACTTTTCAGAGACGAAGTCCTGCCTCTGCTCCTCTTCCTCGTCCCTCTGTGCGGTTCCCTGAGAGCCTGGAGACGAATGCTGCAGCTGCTGCTGCTGCTGTGCTTTGACCGGACAGCTGGCCACCATGTGGGAAACACTCTGACAAAAATGGCACTTTTTGGGCTGAGGGGGCAGCTGACACTCTTTGGCATGGTGGCCGGGTCCTCCACAGTTGTAGCATCTAAAGTGAACAGAAGACAGGAAATGAGCTCAGAGGGGTTTAATTTGATGAATTAACGTCATTATTCTCCAGAAATACGTTTCTTGTCATTTCTGTTTTACATTTGACTCATATTAAGGTTTTACTGTGAATAGAGGTCAAGAACTGCAACAGGCTTAAGCTGTTGAGAAAAACTGTAAACAAAAAGGATTTTACTGGATGCTAAATGTTAAATATTAGTTCCAAGAATACTGTAAGATTACATTGAACGCACAATGTAATCAATTAATAATCATTTATTTGTATTATTTGAATAATGCATGTAATAGCTTTGACAAGTAGCGGATTTTGAATCTGAACCAAAAAAAATAAAATTCCATTTGCGGTGAAGTGATTAAATCCCACCATGAGAGGGCAGCACACCCCAACATTGGCTTCAGATCCCTCTGTCTCCATGCATCCACATTACCTGCAGTACCAGAGGTGGGCAGCTGTTAAGGGATTTGGCCAAATTGATCTATCTTCGTGCCTCAAGGGATTGTATAAGAGATATTTTGACAACCAAACTTCAAACTGGCTTTATTGTTCTATACCAATCATGATTAAAAAAAGGTGGAGCTTGGCACTCAGAGTGTGTTTTTTGTCTTGTTCCTTCACTGTGATCTTTGAGCTCCACTGTGCAGGATGACGTACGTGCAGAGTTTGTGTTCACCTGCTGCAGGGGGAAGTTTATCTGTGCTCACCTGAAATCTCAGTTGAACACCTGAACTGGATTTTTTTAATGTTAAGAAGGTGAACTATTTAACCGAACTTTTTGTGAAGAATCCATATCAAATACGAATTATTGTTCAAAGCAAATTTTTTGCATGTCTTAAAGCAGTGATTCTCAACTGGTGGGTCACACTCAAGTTTTTAATCGGCCGAGCTGCACGGCCAGAATCTGCAACTTTATTGCTCACACTGTACGGATCAATTGTTCGGCAGCGTGGAGCTCAAACAGATAATACGACGTTGCGATCCTCAATCTGCAGCTGAAACAGCTGATCGGGCAAAAAGTCTCAAATACTAAAATGAGTCGGGTGCGACCAATTTGGGGCTGAAATCTGCACAGTGTCTGCTCATCTTCACCGAGGCACCTCGACTAACAGAGCCATCATTAACGTGATTAATTGCACCTGTGCTTTTTCTGTCCGGTGTGTAAAAGGCACTCACTCATTTCTAATTGCAGTTTAAAGACACATTTCTTAGACAAAAACAAGATATGATCATATTCACACATTAGGATGACACTGAAAGTCAGCAGATGATAACATAAAATGACCATCCGGCCATAATTCGGCAGGTCAAAGCATGTATGAATCTCCACACACAACAAGCTGCTATGATTAAACCCAACACTCCTGCAACCATCTTGATGTGTATTGTTAGTAAATCAATGCTGAGAAAGCTAATGATCAGCAGCTAAGTGAAATCCTGTTGGTGAATTCATTAAGGCAGGATAAGTAAGGCGAGTGAGGCTCAAGTACTGTGTCGTGTGACACAAAGAGACACTGGCCACTTAAATAAAGGAGCAAAACCCATTGATTTTTTTTGCGGACAATCTGGTTTTACTACAGGCCCTGGCTTTGCCCCTTTTGCTCTCCATCTGCAGTTGAACAAGTTTCATGTCTCTTTATATTGCTTTAATACTTGTGCAGAAATACATGGAAACTGAGCACATTTAATATAACACGCTACAGCAACCTTTGGACAGCAGCATGGACAGAAGTGTAACTTCAACAAACTGAAACTGTGGAAACTGTCAGTAAAAATGATTATATCTGATGTACTATACAGGTAAATCAAAATATCACCTCCTAGTGTACTTATAATGCTCTGATATCCTCTTCTCTTGTCTCTTCTGCTTCTCTTTTGTCAACAAATCCCATTAAGACCATGACTAACAATACTTAAATCTTTAACGCTGCATTCATTCACGCATTAGCAAACTATTGGCTGTTCCACTAATATGAGAAATAACTGTGTTTTTTTGCTGCTAAATGCTCCACTATGTTCACCAGCTAACTCTAGCCCCTTTTCACACACGCACTGCTACCCCGAATCTATCTGGACATTACCCACAGGAAGTGTATGTGAGAACGCAAATGTCCAGATCATTCGAACCGAACATCAAACGAAATTTACACTGCCAGCTTCTTAGTGCAAAGTCTGTGTTGTGTCCCATTGGTTGTGAATAGAGCCGTTCATTATCCAGAGAATTCACAGCAAGTGAATGGCCGTGTTGATGACGTTTCTGTCATGTGGCAAAACCAGAGGAAAACAAACCCATGAAGAAGATGGGTCATTTACATGAAGTTGACCCACCCCTCCTGAAATCGTCAGACAAATTCAAGGAACGGGAAGAGATCCAGTTGTTCACGACCGAATCATAAACCGGCTACTTGATTGCAGTGTTTTTGTTTTACGTCCTGCCTCCAGCATGCTCTACTCAGGCGCCACCCCAAAACCAAAAGGGAGTATTTCCAGTGGGCGAGAACGCATCCAACACGGACAATCTCCTGATGTGCGCTTCATGTGTCAAAGGGCAACTCCGGACAATGTCCAGAGAATCAGGTCTGGACATTGTTCATATGAGAAGACGGCTTCTAATTAGATTGTCTGTGTCAGACGTGTTCTTACTTGCTGTAAATACTCTGTTTGGTTTCGAGAAGTTTCCTAAAACAGCTGGTCACTGTAGTTTTTATTGTATGTTGCATAATGCATTTGTTAAGGACTATTTTCAGCGGCGGAGTAATCCCCGTTTGGCGCTCTTGTGAGTTTTTGGGGCAGCAGGACGGTGTATGTGGGATTGAGTCAAAATAAAGAGTGTGTGTGCTTGTGTTACCCAGTGCATGTGTAGCTCATTGACGGGTTATTAATAGTTTTTATACAGGAATCGAGCTCTATTGCACAGAGGAAGAAGATATATCAGGCTTTGATGCACACAATACTTGTCAGTAGATACATTCGTTGTCGGTGTGTCTTTTAAAGTCAGTCGGTGATACAGAGTGATGAGACCCAGACCGAGCCCTGCACCATCTCACAGCTAACCACCACTTCCTTCCTCTCCTTCCCCCTCCTCCCTGCCCCCCATCAGGGCTCAGTATTGATCAGCGTGGCCATGAGGGCGGGAGAGGGAGCTCCTTTGTTTCAATACAACTGTGACCTCTGAACCCTGACCCCCTCCTCCCACCCTCCCCTCCACCTCATTTGCACACCACATCCCATTGTTGCTATGGCAATGGTGACCTCTGACCTCTCCCAGGCACCTACATCTGTTATCAATTAAATGGATAGGATTCTTTCCTCTGCTGAATACTACATTTATGTTTGGGAGAAAAGAGGAAACATGTGAATGCAATCAAACCTATAGCGGGTATTTAAGGACAGGAAGTTGTTGGGATTATTTTCATCACTGCTTACTAATGAAGTTCAACTATAAAAGATGCTATCGCATTAATAACCTTGTTGGATCTTAAGGCCTACAATCTGCAAATCAAACTATAAGCTTTAACTGACACATTTGTGTTTTGGAACCAGTGAAAAGAAGAAAGTAGGAACGTCTGAATGCAATCAAATCCGAGAGGTATTGAAAGATAGGAGGATGTGGGATTCATTTTATCACTGCCAGCCATAATTAATATGCTCTAATCTAAAAGATGCTATCAAATTAATAGCCTCGCTGGATCTTAATTACCCAAACATGCTTCAAAGACAAACAGAGCAATTGCAAATAAATGACAGTTTCCTCCAGTAGAGTTCATTTGCAGGTTCGTGAAATGAATTTGTGTTTTGTAATAAAGGAATAAACTTTGAACTGATGAAGCTACCCTGTGGCCGGCACAGAAGCCAAAAGACGGAGCGCTGAGCGGTCAAACAATCTATTGATCCAGCTCAGCCTGCTGCTGCTCAAAGAGACGACGTTTAGCCAGCAACTTTCTTTGTTTGTTATTTAGCATAACTTTCAGCTCAAGATTATGAACTTTGAAGTATTTCTGAGTAATCTCTGTCTTTGCTGAATCCTGCGTGTCATTTTGGGACATCCTGTCTCATTAAAGAAGCAACGTGAACATTTTGAGACATTTTGGTTATTTGCTCTCTTTCTGAGTGTGATGGGAAGATTGATATCACTATCTTGGCACTTGAGTCAGGACCTGGTTAGCCTAGCTTAGCATAAAGATTGAAAGCAGGGGGAAAACAGTTCTAAAGTTCTAAAAGATGTGCGGCATAGTGTAATGTAGACAGTACAAAGCAAGCATAGTGCTCAAAACGTTGACGTGTTTTGGTACCATATGCATAGACTGGACTTACCTATCACCCTTGGAGCGTCGTTTCTGGGCACTCTTCGGTCTCCTCTCGCTGCCCAGACATGGAGCTCCGTTGGGCCCAGAAACCCGGAGAGACTCCAGCCCTTTAGATGATTTCTTAAAGGTGAACTCAACGGCCTCGCCTTCTCTGAGGCTGCGGAAGCCCTCCATGTGCAGTTTGCTCTGTCAACGAGAGAGAGGGAGAGGGTCAGAATTAAACGACCTATAGAGCCCATAGGGTGGATGAGTATACAAGGGATTTAAGTCAACTCCTGAACCTCAAAAACAACTATGAATAACTGGAATTAAAGCTCTCATGTCAGAATTGGGAGCGCAGGTGTGCTGAGATGAGAAAGTAGGCATTGTTTAACTTCTCCCATGTTCTCTTTTTCATTCTTCACACAACTACTTCTTTCAAGTTTTGCACGTAAAATTAAGTGCAGCACCATGAATGCCTTTGTAGATGGACTGTCCCAAAGTGTGCCCCATTGTCCATCCATTTCTCTGATTATTGGGCCTCTCCCTTCTATTTGACGACAGGTACAAGCAGGCTCGTACATTTATTTTGTCATCATTTACTTATAGTTTACCTGTACTGATGCAGCTTTTTGTTCGCCATTTGGCAGTTTTTTTGCAAGTTATAAGTTAACTTGTTGGGCAGTTTAAATATAAATACATTTATTTAGGGGATAAAGGTGATATTTAACCTTAAACGAAATTTAAGTTTCGGTCCTTACAAGACAAAGAAGCAGCTTACTTAAACTGACCACACACTTAAATGTTGCATTAATAGAAACGTGTAGCCGCTGTCAGGGAATCCTCAGCTCTCTCATAAAAATCCAATCCTGTTGACGGCCCTGTTTAAACATCAATGCTTTCAAACACCCCTCCTCCCCTCGCGCGTCTCCAACCCAACCTCCAAAGCATTCCTCACCCCCCCCCCCCCCCCAAACCCCCACCCCCCCCCCCCCCCCCCCCCCAAACCACCACCTACATGCAGCAAAAGACTCTCCAAAATGAGTCCATCTGGACAAGTCTCCAGAGGACCATTGCACTGGAGGATGCTGGGAAATGACACAGGGGAGGAGTGCATTCCTGGGATAGCTACTAGGAGAGGAGGCGAGAATGTATGTATCCTGAGAGGAGTAAATCACCAGCGCATGGTGTGCTGCACTATTGATGTTTTACTGACTAGCTTTCCAATTGTAGTGGTAAATAGAGGGAAGGATGAACTACCACACAGTGAACATGCCAAACACCAGCAGTTATATGACTTCCTCTTCTTGAATTTGAATGTAACATCAAATATATTCAAACTCCATAAAACAATGTCTCTAAGTAAATACAGTTTTAATGTAAATATCACTTCTTTTGTTGTCTCAGTAGGACCTGCTGGTATGTTGTTATATTGCTCTGTTAATTTTGAGCTCACATATTAATGTAGTTCATGTTTTCGTGCGGTATTTTCAAATGGAAGTCTAAATTTTCCTGAACAGTGCTCGTCCTGAGATTATTTCCCATTCTGGCTCCACCTTGGTGCAAAGCATTCACTGCTGTGGTATTCCTGCGCTGCGCTTCCCAGAAATCCAATTTAAATCAAACAAAGTCAGCAGCAGGGTGGTGGCAGAGAAGGCTCAAAACATTAGAGCTTAAGAACACAAAAGCAAATAGACAAAAAAAAAAAACGCCATTAAAGTAAGAAAACATTTTCTAGCATATATCCATCCACCACCGAGCAATGAAAGTAGTCTGTCTGCGTTGAGCCTGGCTGTATGCAGCAGCCACAAGCCAACCAGCAATGAGCCTTAATGGTCATTTGTTGCTTAATACACATTAAAGCTGCTGCTGGAAGAGCTGGAGGAAATATAGAATGTAAACCTGCTGATCAGTATGATGACCACAGCTGTGAAAGGCTCTGCTGACTGCACTTTACATGGGAATTAGACCAAAGCTGCTTTCAGCTCAGAGGACAATATGTCTTTATTTTTTCTTTTATACATCTGCTGTGTTTCCTGAGGATAAAAAAAACTACACGGAAGAAATTGTAATTAAAAAATAAATAAATAAATTTGGAAAAAAAACAGAAGAACTGGATATTTAACACGAGCAGTAAAAAAGGAAATTAAATCTTGTTTTTTGCACTGTACACATAATATCATGGATTCTTCTTGGCATATCAATATAACAAAAATGTCTATTTCTGCTCAAAACAAGCAGTATAAGCCTCAGTTAGGTCAAATTGTAGTTTTTAAATATGCTGGGATGGACGGTTATATCAGAATAACTTCAACTAAGGCCTTAAGCTTTGTCTTTTAGTTTCTGCATGTATCATTTGCTTCAAACATGCTATGTTACCAATAAGCAAGTCTGGAGAACTAACTGACTGGCCATACATTTTGACTTAGAAAATTGATCACAAACTACCAATCTACCTTAATGGGATTTGTTCAAATTTGGCTTATAAAACTTAAGTGCTCATAACAACAAAACCAGACAACAGTCTCCCACTAGAATACACCTCGGCACATCAACGATTCACTGAGGCCCAAGACAAGCATGTGAAGGGCCTTATCCCCTCTCTTTCATCAGATGATTTACAGCAACACAGGGGCAAGTAACCCGAGGAGAGGTCTCGACCAAAAGGCTCCACATGGGAGGTGGGACTGAAATTCAGGTTTGGGTGGGCTCCCTGATGCTTTCATGACTTTATAACAGGAAGCAGGGCTGGATGGGGAGAAGAATGAGCCTTATTGTTATATCTGCTTTAGCCTCTAACCCCTTTTAAATAGAAATGTTTGAGCTCAACACCTTTGAGGTTCCACAGCAGATATCCCTCTGGGAGGTGAAGGGAGCGGGGGAGTGGCAGCATTTAGTCAGGCATGGCCGACTTAAAGATGTGTTAATCTCCAGGTAATTTTACACAAAAACACATCACGTGTCTTACACTCTTCTTATGAGCTGATTTTGCGTGATAATTCCCGACTTAAGTCCAGAAAGATGACACTGAAGTGCAGTTTCCAAAACAAAAGAAAAGCAGTACATATTCGCATTTAAGAAACTGTAACCAGAGAATGTTAGTTACTATGAAAATACCTTGTTATAACATGAAAATACCTTATTATAACACAACAATATCTTGTTAAAACATTAGAATATTGTTATTAGGTGAAAATCTTGGTATAACGTCAAAATATATTATTACATGAAATGTCTTGTTGTCAGTATCTTGTTATTACATGATGGTACCTTATCATAATGTGAAAATGTTATTTTGAATGTCTGAGCACCACTTCAGGGCCCAGCTTTTCTGGTTATTCTCAGGAAAATCTGAATATAAGGTGGTTTAGCCAATTATGAAATAAACCTGAAATGTGTGACACCTGAGATGTGACAAGCAGCAGCAGCAGCGTCTCACCTGGTGGACGAACACGTCCAGCGGGTCCTCCAGAGGAGCTCCGTCCCTGTTGCTCATGGACAGGAAGCCGAAGCCCATCCGCAGGTTGAACCACTTGCACACACCGCTGCCCCGGGACAGACCCGCGTCCTCCTCCTCGCTCCGCGGACAACCCGCTGCTGCACAGAAAATACGGAGATTGTTGGTGAGAAAGCCTGATAAACGGCAGCAAAGTGAAACCCAAGAAGGGCCGCGTGCGTCTGACGTGTTGCGTAATGGCCCGAGAAAACAACACAGCAACAATGTTCTCAGATGATTACGATGGAAGATGCGTTTTAATACGGCTGCAGCTAATGTTCATTTTCATATCAATTAATCGGCAGTTTTTTTACCCAATTATTAATGAAAAAGTCCATAAAATGTCAGAAAACAATGGTCAAAGGCTTAATACGATTTCCCGAAGCCCATACGCCATATTCAAATGTGTTGACCGAGTAAAAGTCCCAAAAACATTTGACTATTACAACATATTTTTCAAACATTTCCCACATAATGCATAAAAAAAGGATGTAATCGATTATTTCCAGTCGATTTCTTCGCCTTTATTTTACTTTTCTTGTTCAACTTTATTACTACACCCACAATTGCTAACACATGATGAACTGAGGGTGATTAACCCACTACTTACATAATTAAGGAACCAAACAGAGTAGCCTTTAAAAATATGAGGAAATCCACCATCCACCAATCATTAATCAAGTATAGTTGTTTCAGTCAAAAGTAACGATGCTGATAGTATTTTGATCGCTGTATGATATCATTTGACAAATTCCCCCTTGGGGATGAATAAAGTATATATCTAATCTAATCTAATCTAATACAATATTTATATATATTATGAATATTCTCACTCGTTTTACAATAACAGAAAACAATATATAAAATGTCTAAATATTTTTAAATAAGCCTCGATGCACGTGCACGTATCTATACTCACCAACAGACCTTCGAAATAAAATGTATCTTCCTTCTTCTCTGACAACATTAAAATTCGTAAAAAGCCATTTCTTTACGGAAGCGAATTATTACAATCCAGCTGTTTCTATTTCTCCAAGGCTTCTCAAACAAAGAGAGAAATTAATTTCCGAACAACATTAATTAAAAGCTGGATTTCTCAGTAAACGTTTGTTTGTGGTCTACCTGTGAAACTCGGATTGGAAGCAGAGCCCATCCCGCCGCTCTCTGCTGCTTTAAAGTGCACCGAGCTGCTGTCCACTTCTTATACCTCCATTCCACCTCCACACTAGAACACGCATACCCCCACCCCCACCCTAGTCACCAAGTCTTGGCAGCACTTCTGGAGAGATGTTTCTGAATAGACAGTCCCCTTTAGAAAGGAAAGAAGAAGACAATGCAAGACGAAGAAAAGCTTCCCCTTTCATCTCTTTTCTATTCAGCCTCCTTCCTTCCATCAGAGCATCCATACCTTCTGCCATGGTGGGAGGTTTCCTCGGCCCCCTGCAGAAAACAGCTCCGGCCCACAAAATATCAGACGGAATGAGTTAAATGCATGCTTGACATCCGTGCACGTTCTCTCCGTGATGATTGTGTGTGCGTGTGTCAGTGTGTGTAATCCTCCAGGAGAACGAATGCCTTCTGCCTGCTCCCTTCTTGCACAATATGCAGAAACCCCCTTGACCCTCCTACCTCCAGTAACCCCCACCACACACACACACACACACACAACCACCTTTTCGGTCAAGTCCACGTGATTTCCAGTCGCAGATAAATCACACATGTTCAATAAGATAGGGAGGCAAAACAATTGACAAAATGACCAATCAGGGCTTTGGACGATTCAGCTTAGTGTTGCACCCTAGGGCCTAGAAAGATATTACCCCGCCCACTGCCACCCTCCATCGCACTCTTACACACACACGGACACACACACACACACACACACACACACACACACGCACACACAGACATATAATAAAACCCATCTGCAAAGCATTTTGCAGCTACTGTTCAGATTAAAAGATGGTGTTTCCATTCCATTTTCATAAATCTAATCCACATTTTTATCTCAAGGTATACTATTTACAAATGATGTGGCAATATAAGCACAGGAAATATAACAACAAGCCAAAAAATAGGTTAGCCTGTTCGAAATATGCAATGAGATTTTAGAGATTTTAGGAGAAGCTTCTGATTCCTGCACAACCCACACAAAATGTTGTACTTCATAAATGCAATGCATGTAATTGTAATAAGTAAGACCTACAATGATGCCTTACTTATATACATTTTTATAATAATATACTGTGATGAATGAATACATTAATGGATTGTAATATTTTAAGTTTTAAGGGCATTTTATAACTAAAATGAAAGCCATGCGTTCTTTTACAGCTGGTGAAAATTCAGGGGTGACTTTTGTCAATTTGAAGGTGTTTTTAAAGAAAACCTTAAACCGTGCAGATAATCCATTAAACACCCGTAATATATTGGCAGCCATTGAATTATGCATTGATTGCGTAACTGAATTTGGACCTTATTTGGGAATCTTTTATTTTTTATTTTTGAGGAATGGTTTTTAGGTTTTTTTAATGCTATTTTTGTAAATCTAAAGGGGTTCCTAATCCTTAAAAAATACGTGAATTCCTGCGGGAAGCCCATTAAAAAAGCCTTAATAAATACATAAATACCTTGAATAACACATTTCTTCTGTAAATTTAGTGGGAAGTCATGTATCAATTAAAGTCAGCTACATTTTAAGGGTTTTATTTTGGGCCTTTTGAGAACCCCAAATAACACTTTAAATTGATCATTGATCATTGATGAATTAGTGAAATATTCATGTTTCAAATTCATATTTAGATTAAGAAGTCATGTACTACATGAATGTAGTTTTAGAGCTTTCAATATAAGGAGTTTTAAAGAGGGTTCTCAAATACACAGACAAATGAGTGTAGTGAAGTATTCGACATATTTGTCACCCGGCTGCCATCTTCGAGGAAACTTTGGTCCTGAATGTTCTCTAGATGATCCGGATGGATTTGTTGCTGATGAAATGAAGCTTCTTGCATTGTCTCCGCTGAGGTGATTCACATCCACCTGTTACAAGTTTCTTGAAAAACATACGGTGGCCCATTGGAGTCATTCCCCCACATTCATTAATAATTAATATTAATATTAATGACACGCACACACACCCACACACACGTACACACACATCAGGAATTAAATATGTGAAGCGATAATGAGCTGAAGTCGGCAGTTTTTCTGACTTTCCTGTGGAAAGAAATGCATCTTATTGTCTCTGCACATTTTGCGTGTGTGCGAGGTGTTGCCTGATGAAAACAAATGACTACCTCCATTCATGCGTTAGCCTAATAGTCCAGAGGCGCTCTGAAAGTCGCCATGGAAATGGAAAGGCCCAGCGGCTGCTGCACCACAAAACAGGCCACCCTAAGGTGACCGGGGTCACCCAGAGGGGCTTGTGGGAACAAAGCCTTGGCACGCGCTTGTTCAACAGCCATCGCTGAATCAACACACACACACACACACACACAAAGTTGCCTCTCACTAACAGACAGTGAAAGTATTTGAATACATATAAAAGTACGGCTAAGACTCTGCAGTATTTATGCTGTGAATGTAATGCTGTAGGATTTAAATGACTGTGTGAGCCCCTGTGTGTTGCAGAGGGGGGAAATAAGCAGCAGCCCCACGGGAAGCCTGTCAGCTCACCTTTCACCCCACCTCCAGAGGGAAATCAATCAATAAACCTGATCGATAACAAATCTGTAACGTGCTGCCATGTTGTGACAGATATCCCTCCCACAACGAGCCTCTAGGTAGGAGAGGCTGCCGCGGGCCACCTCGGGGCAGCAATGACAGGCTGAAGCCTTCTTTGACAAATGAACCTGTCCGTTAAAGGAGTATGACCAGATTTTTTTAGGGGCATTGTTACTTTGGTTGAATCTACTATCAAGTGAAACAGAAAACAGATTCATTTTCATCATATGTCAATGTGGAGGACATTTGCAATGCTACAATGTGTGTGATTTTTATGTGTTTACAGCATATTTCAAATGACCGATGGCATAAATTCAAACAATTCTGATGGAAATGTGTGCAGTCTATGTGTTGCTGTCAGCTCATTTATCTCAGATCTGAGGGAACATGCGTTCTCTCTTTCAGTGTCCCTTCTGACACCACCAGATGGCACCAATGTCAATTTGTTTTTTTATCATACACTTAAAACTTAAAGGAAAAAAAGGAACATTTTGAGGAAATACTGCATTTGCTGTGGACTATTTTCAGCGGTGGATTAATCCACATTTGCTGCAGCAGGACGGTGTGTGTGGGAAGTAAACTACAGTGTGTGTGTGTGTGTGTTCATGGTGATGAAAGAACATGTTCAGTGCAACAGTGTGGCTTATTAATGTGATTTTAATAGTTTTAGGACAATAATGGAGCTCTATGGCACTGAGGAATTAGATATATCAGGATTTGGGTACACAAACAAGTCTTTGTTCTTATTTGTGTTTTATTTTTTTGTGACAATAAGAAAAGTATAGAATATCTCAAGGAGGGTGAATATTTTACATTACGTTGAGGGGAAAATAAAGAAAGCTCCATTATTAGTGTTTGATGCAAAAGGTTCATAAAAGCGTATGGTGACAGGGCCATGCATGAGATGACAATACATGCAAATCCTCATAAATAGCCTTCGTCACACAACGGGTAGTTAGGTTAGTTTCAGCACTAACGGCTCCACCAACAAAACAAACGCTTCCTTTTGGGACATTTCTGCAATGTTATGCCGAACGACAAAGTCTTCACAGGATAAATCATTTACATTTTTAGGAAAGAACCATTGTTGATAAATGCCTGAAGCCATTGAATTTCCTTTGAAAGATTTGGCATGAAGCTGATTATTGATAATGGACAATTAGCCATGCAAATCTATAGGACACCTTGGAGTGGCTCACTGTCATATTCTCTTATTTCTACAAAAAGATAAAAGATACATAAAAAAATAAATTGCATATTCTGTAGGTATAGTGGCCATGTGAAATGTATATATGTTATTTAAGCACGGATATGGATTAAGCATAGATTAATTGGAAAAGATAATGGCAAACCAATCTCTTAACTTCATGGTGACAACCACCAATTATTACAGTAATAAATGAAATGATATTATCAGATGTCATTGTGCTGATGAACAATGACGCCATACACAGACTACAGATTGGTGAAGGCGAGAAGATTTATTTAGGTAATCAATGGGGGACGGTGAAGGAGTGCAGACCAGGCTGGAAGAGGGAGAGTGACGTGGGCAGGCCGAGGTTAAACGAGGTGAACCTGAAGCACAAGAGAAAAGGCAGTTACTCAGAAAGAGTGGAGAAGCCAGAAGCAGCTGACTACCACAGTCGTGTAGAAGCAACAGTATGGCCCGGAATGGGAGAGGTGTCGGGGTAGATCTGTAGGAGTTGATGTGTTGATTGCAGCCAGGTGAGCAGAGAGCTGACGAGCAGATTGATGGCAGCCGTGTAGGTTGAGCAGGGACCCATGAACCAGTGAGAGAGAACACACACACACACACGCACAGAGGAAAAACGGGGTCATGGAAGATGTGTGAGCAGTGGGGAACACAAGGAAACATAAGGGTTAAGACAAGGGGTAACATAAAGTATATATTAATTCGTGGTCAACCTCTTTTCACAACCTATTCCTTTTAGAAATGATGGTTGTGTCATATGTAATTCAACTTATAACTCAATTGATTTAAAGGATAGACTGTGCCTGTTGATATATACACAATGGACCACTTAATTGTCCTGTATAAATTGCAAAGCCGCGAGATTGATGGCTGGGACTGTGTGGGTGACTGTTTTCTCATCTTTCTCACTTTATTATATTTGATAAGTGATTTTTCTTTATGCAAAAAAACATCCATGTCAGAGCAACACAGTGTCTTTCCTGTGTAATCTATTCATCTCTAGATAAATGGGTGACATGTGGACATGGATAATACTCTACTCTCACAGACTGTTGGGAGATAATAGCCATCCGTAGTGCACAGGGACTAATACACCCACAATCACGAGTGTTATAGAAAGCACTACTTTATCTTTGCCACTAGATGTCACCTTAAGCATGTATTCTCCTAGACCACCCAAGAATAAAAAAAAAAGGTTCAAACATAATCCAAAGAAAGACTGCCGTTAGATCACCACACAAACATGAATTAAAGGTATGTTTTGCAGCGTCGACAGAGATTGCGCTCCAGTTGATATAGTGCTTAATAGCACAGCGTTTCTTTGTCATATAACAGAAAAGTACATGATGTATTTCTTTCTATGAGATAATGAAATGGCCTATATATTATATATATATATATATATATATATATATATATATATATAGCTGTATAGAAAAGGCCTAAAAGAAGAAAATGGATTTGAAGTCCTTAAGGTTATGGTTGTAGTTTACTCAAAGTCACAGGAGCATCTGTGAGAGAGGTCCTTAGTGTCACAGAGGTGAAAGAAAAGCTTCATTAACAACAAAGTCACAGCTTGTTACTCATTGTAGTGTCTTGACTCATTAAGTGTCTCATCATTGTATGAAAATCAAAACACACTGGATCTGTTATCTCCTTGTACTTTCTTCAGAAGTGTCCTGAATTAATTAAGTTATTTTGGGTACTGAATACAGGGGAAACAGACCCCAAGGTTCTGAGACATATGCTGATTTGTATGCTTCCCTTTAGGCAAATTTCACATTTTGCATGTTTAGCTGTAACCTTCTGTGCAGTGAATAAAATATGAGGCTGCACTACCAATCTTTTTTTTGTTCATAACGTGGACAAGTAAAACCATGGTTTTACCGGATTATAATGTAATAGAATTTGCTCCCGCCCATTTTCAACACTTGATACATGTATTAAAAGGCTACAATTCAGTTGTTTCGGTTGCTGTACTACTAATACTGACATTTGTATCATTTTGACACGCTCTCGTGGGCCACACAGAAATGCTCGTAAGAGATGAATCCCAACAGATACGCACGAGCTCCGCCTCCTGCTTCTCCTGTGGCATTAATCACCCCTCATACCCGTATTTACGGTTGGGGTTAATCCCACCCTCCCTCCTTGCTTCGCACCACAAAAACAAATGTTTCACTGTCTCGTCTGACAGGAACATTCAGTAATAACAGTGTTCCTCCCATGCTGGGGCTGGTTCCAGCAACAGAACAAACAAAAAAACAAAAACAAGACGCAGATGCGATCCCTTGTGATGAAGATGGGATGAACATGAAGAGATGAGAGACAGAAGCCATTGGACGGAATACAAAGGTACTTGCTTTATTAGAGCTTTACAGAATCCTCCATTGTGACCATTTCTGTTTTCTTTAGAGGGAACTGTAGACTGATAATAAAAAAATATCGATTTCTCACTTTTATCTCGGAAGAGAAAAGGATGGAGCAAAATAAAACCCGAGGTGCGCATCGCGGCGGTGAGAAGGCGAACATGGGGGCGATGTATTGAAGCGTTATAGTGCGAGATGCCTACAGGTCGTGGTGATGGAAGTGAAATGAGATTGCGTTGCTTGTCGTGCGTTTAACAGGCTCGATTATGCGCCAGCCTCTGCAGTGACTGAACGCTTTTTATTTTTACCTGCTGAAACACGATGACTGCATTGGTGAGCTGTAGCTGGCGGTGAGAGGAAGGAAACCCGCGCTACTGGCTTGTTCGTCTGCAGCACCACGGACAGCGACAATGACTCGGCTCCGTAGGAAAGCTCTCGTGGCACTTTTCCTCTTCACGCTCTTCATTTTCGGGGCCATGATGGGGCTCAGGACGCTGAAGCCCAGCGACGGCTTCTCGGACCTGGCCCCGGGCATGGACTTCATCGAGGAGCGATCCGACAGGAGGCGGCTGGACGTGAAAGACGCGGTGGCGGCGGCGGCGGTGGTGTCGCCGGGCCAGTTCCACATGGGCAGCAGTGACACTAAGGTGGTTTTCACCAAGTCGGACCGAGATTACAGCATTTTCTACGACGTGCAAATATTCTACTACCTGTGGTACGGCTCTCCCGGCATGGACAACAAGTACATCCACTGGGATCATGTGCTGGTGCCGCACTGGGACCCAAAGATCGCTGCCAGTCATGCCCAAGGAAAGCACACACCTCCAGATGATATCGCCTCAAGTTTTTACCCTGAGCTGGGACCCTACAGCTCCAGGGACCCAACGGTGCTGGAGTCGCACATGGCCCAGATAGAGGCGGCTGCAGCAGGTAATTCTTGCAACACTGCATGGCTCTATACATGTTTCCCTTTTTGTGGACCTCCAGGGCTGTATAGCCGGTCCACCCAACGCCCCAACTCACTCATCAACAATAGTCTAAATAAAGTTGCCATAGCTTTTATTGTTGATTTGGTTATTGCCTAGACGCCCCAAAGTTCTCAAATACAAGCAGAACTGTATACATTCTTCATAATTTATCATATTGCATAATAATAACTCTAAAAAATATAGTGAGTTTCAGTTATTTTATTAAACTTTTTTGTCAATATCAATGAGGAACACTGGCTGAAAGTCATGATTTACTTTTTAACGCCACATCCCAGAAGTTGACATTTCCAGCATGTTCCTGAATCCCCCAACAAAGCGGTGCTTTAACCTCCCTGGCTGTACTCAGAGCAGACTTCCTCCCCATGCTGTGGTGTTGTAGGGGTGCTGGTGTTGTCCTGGTACCCCCCCGGGTTGGCAGACGACCACGGGGAGCCCACCGAGGACCTGGTTCCCGCTGTCATGGACGCTGCCCACAGGCACAGCATCAAGGTAACTGGTGAGACAACCGGTATGTTTTTTTCCTTTCTGATGATTTACTGAATGAATGACTTGCTAGTGACAGTTAAATGTTAAAGCTGAGGTTTGTTTGTTTTTTTAACCGAGTGTGACAAGTATATTTCAAACTTTTGAGGGTTTCATCCATTTAATCCTGTTTCATTACTGTCTGCAGTTTATACTCCAGCAGAGCAAGGTCATGTAAAAGTGCATGGTGCAACACAGCTAATAGCTATGACCCTGTTTTGGATTCTCCAGCTCTTTGTTGCCTCAAAAGTCAGCACAGTTAAGGCATTTGCTAATGGTCAACAATGCAGATGTGAGTATTTAGCATTCATCATGAAAGTTGAACTTTAAAAGATTGGATTTTGCTTTTGAATGCTGGTGTGACGGGTCCTTAAAACTGCATTTTGTTTCCACTTGAGAAAAAGTGTGTCATGCCCTTTATTGAAAATGCAGCATGTCTTGCAGCTGCATTGCATTCTGGTCCACCGAGGCTCCCGACAGTGAAGAAATGGGTGCCTAACCAGTGGGGCCCAGTGGCATCTCCACTTGTGATGCTCAGACCTTAATACCTGACATTTACAGTAATATGGAGGTTGTAGAGAGATGAAAGTGTTCTGCTTTCAGACGCCTTTCTATTCGAGCCAATAGCTGTTTTTAAAATTTGAAGTACTTTAGGGTAGATTGTCTTTTTCAAAGCACCACCTAACGAAGTCTTTAGCACTTCGTGGGTCTGATACCGTAAAGCCCTAAGATGCTGAAGGTGCTTGAGATGGCGGTGGCAAAACAAGCTGAGCACAGCATTCAGCATTAAGGGGACAGAATAGCTTCCCCTCGGTCTACTTTAATGCTCCTTATATGGAAGTCTTAGACGGAGAACTGTGTCTCTCTCTGTCTCAGTCGCACTTACACAACAGTGTGTGTCTCACAGCTGACCCGAGGGCTAATGCTCCAGTGTTTCAGTGCAACAGAGCTGCCGCTGACAAAACACAGGCTGAAGTCACAGTGTTTGTGAGCAGCCATGTGTGTGTTTTCTCTGCCCACATGCCATATATGTTGTTTGTTACGGTGCTTTTGACACAGGAGGAGATCCTCTGTTATTATTCAAATGCGAAATGAGGGGTGATGAGGCACTGTTGTTCCTATTTATATCCGAACCAGACCACCGGTGTCACAGATATCCGTTGAGACCAGCACATATGAGAGACAGGAGGACACAGGCTGATCTATAATCCCCTCCAGCACTCCATCCTCACTAATTAAGCATAGATTGACCCTGTTTGCCCAGTGAAATGTTAGGGTGCTATAGCAGAAAACAAGCAGAGATCAAATAAAACCAGAGCAGAAAAGTACCATCTTTTAACTACAACAAACCTCTCACGAAAAAAAGGAAGCGCTCTTGTTTTAAGGATAATTGCAGTTTTGTCAGAACATAGATGGGATTTGAGTATTTTGAATGAACTGATCATCCCTTTCTTCCTTTTATTTTCATCACCATCAAGTCTCGCAAATAAAAACATTAAAAGCTGCACCGATCAACATGTTTGATGTAAACAGCGGGTCAACGGATTATGTGCAATGTGAAAAGGTGTTGTTTTCCGTAACAAAAAGAGAATTATCGGCCTGTGGGTTTTCGTTTTTTTGGGCCACGACTTTACTGTTTTGGTTCAGTCTGGTTTGGTTCCAGCCGCACACACCCACATGATGATATAACATCATCGCCTCGGGTTAGTGTTTGTCATCATCCGAAGAAAAAGCCAAACATCGGGCGAAACACTCCAGGAGTGGTTGTGTGTCGCGGCAGCGTCGACACACCTGAGGCCTGGAATGTAAATACGAGAGTCTGTCGGCATCGCACAACTCGAGGGGGATCCGAGCAAACAAAGCACTTTTTCATCCGCATCCATCCGTGGTTTCATACAGCCGCGCCAGGAACAGATTGAGCGGCGTCTTACCTCGCTGGCCTTTCATGATTTCCAACCGGTCGAGACGGCTGACAAACACGAGCCTGTTCGCCAAACACCGCCGCGTTACCATGGAAACTGTTTAGGAAGACCTTGCAGCCTCTTTTGAAAGATGGAGTGGGCGTTGTGTGCTCAGTGTTTGTGGCTCTGTCAATGCTTTAGTGTTCGCTGAGCTGCAGTTGACCCTTTTCCCCCCCTTTTGTGACTGAAGCAAACAAGCGTACCACAGTTGTTCCTGGATGACAGAGGCCATCAGTCACTCAGCTTTCAGCTCAGGAAGAACATGACACAGTGTTTCCTGTCAAATCAGGCTCATGCCTCCAGTTTTAGGGTTTTATTTCATTTACTTCTTTTTTATATCTCAGCTGTACATGAACTAAAATTCCCTCCGGATGACTTGAATCTCAAAAAAAGAGATACTCTCTGAAGCTTGAATTATTACTGAGAAGTAGTTAAAAAGGCTTTCTGAGACTCTTGGGTCAGTGGAGTAGATGTCATCCTGTTTCACCTAAATGTGATGACAGAGACGACAATACGGAACACGCCTGTGGGGATGGTGAGCATCTGCTTCTCTTGTTCTCTCCTCCTCCTCTCAGCTCCTTTATCAAGAGATCCTCAGCATCTTGCAGGGCTAAACTTAGCTCCCTCTTCTGTCTCCTCCTATCTTTGTACGAGAGAAAAAGGACACCGTTTGACCGCCTGTTTTCTCTTTAATGACTGATGACTCTTACAGCAAGGTGCCTTTCCAAAAGGCCGATTATTTCTACACCATTGGTGCAGCCCTGTGTCCCGAAAATTACGTTCCCATACAACAAAACCACATTGTGGATTAGGTTTCGGGGGGAAACATTTTTTGTCGTGGATTACGTTTGCTTCTGACGTATCACAAATTAGTTTAAAATGAACTTCACCCAGCAGACAGCTGTTTGAGTCCTGTGTGAAAGTACTCTTGTTGCCTAAACATTACCAAGTCATTTTGTTGCATTTTTGTTTTGTTTGTTTCTTAATAAGGCCATATCAGCCAGTATTACCCAAACCAAAAGTGGCAGCCGGGTTGCATTGTGGGTAATGTGGGCACCAGGTTTTTGACGGGGAAGATTGTTTGTATTCAAATTTAGCTGGAAAGAAACTGAAAAATACTTTTTGGGACATGACAAAAGATAGTTGAACAATTAACAGAGAGAAACAACGAATGTGTTGTTTTGTTGTGTCTTTAAGCCCTTACAGCAATGTGTTGTGACAGAGTTAAAGTCATTTGTGAACTGTTTAAAGTAATGCTGTAAATGTTTTAGATTTCGGGGCCGGAACAAAGCCTTAATCCTTGAATAATACAAATCTAAAGAAGCAGCAGTTCTTAATAAGATGTCAAATGAGTCAGTCCTGAAATAGTGACACTTCACAAAAGCTTAAAACAGTGTTTTATTTTGACTGCAGGTGAACTCTGTTTAAAGGCTATTTAATGCCTGTCAATCATCCAGAGGCACACACTCATCCATAAAGTCTTTGTAGGCGCTGGGCAATAATTATCAGAACAAAAGGAAACCAACGCACCAGACACTGCCATCTCTCTTGTTCCCAGTTCTTCATTCTTTCCATATTGACATGATTGAACAACATTTCAACCATTAATGATTTACTTTGTAGTCAAACAGTTGTCAATCATTGTCTTCTCCAGGATCGTTTGGTCAAAATGTTGTCAATCATGCCCGTGTGGAATAAAAGAAGAATCAGGAATGAGAAAGAAATGTGTTCTTTTACCGCTTTATGTTCAGTGAACATTCGTGAACAAGCAATGGCTTCTAAACAAACTCCCAACTCCTCTCTCTCGACTCTCTTTACTCTCGTCACTCCTGTTACTCTGTGCTGCGACTCTGCTGCTGTACGGAGTCGACACTTTCTGCATAACACGATTAGCATATTACTAATTAAAGTCTTTTTTATTTGATGAACATTGGTGCTGATAAGTCCCTCCCTTTCTGGTGGACCACCATGGGCCCTTTCTTCAGAAAAATGACCTGCGGTAGTCAAAAGCCAGAGGCAAACAATTATTTGATCCCATTTGGATTTTGCCATGAATTACACATATGATGTTTGTCAATTAAAAAGACAATTTTATAAGTCAAGAAAGTCACAGTTGACGTAAAACTGTTGACGTAAAATACGTAATGAGAAAGACTGCACACCCAAAACCTTGTAGAGCCGATCCCATGAGCTAGCTCTCGTGGAGCCGACTGACTCTACTTTTGTGTAGCTGCGGTCTCAACATGGCCAGAATTTTTGTGATTTCCCAACTCTTTTAATACTTTTTTTCAGCCGTGTTGGTGCTGGTAGAGACGCAGTTCACTGAGTGTTTCTCGCACAAAACTAAACGGTACCACGGCAAACCTACGACAAAACCACGTCTTTCTCGACTTGCAAAAGGATCTTTTAAATTGACAAACACCACGTGTGTAATTCATGGCACAATTCAAACGGGATGAAGAAGTTATTTGTCTCTCGCTGAGACTTCGCCTCTCAGTGCCCGAACACTGTGTTACACCGGCAACAGGGACGACCACAACAGGCCTATAGGTCAAACTAATTAAATGTTGCAGTCATATTGGCTGTCCATCAAAACAAATAATACACTGGAATAAAGAACAACTGAGTGCTCAGTTTGAAATTCACTGCATAACCCCTTATTTTTCAGGTGTTTGTGTGTTGATGTTGCGCTTTCATGATCTTTCTGTTAACATCTGTATTCACATGTGGTTTGCACAGGTGGCCTTTCACATGCAGCCATACAAAGGACGGACGGACCAGAGCATGCATGACAACATCAAATACATTATTGACAAGTGAGTTGTTTATCTATGCTTCCACTCTCCTCTGTGCCCGTTGTGTTTCCTTTCACTGACCGAAGGGTGCGGCTCTGATTTCCATATCTGACGTTGGAAGTCTAGCCATGTGGTGAAACGTGAAGCCTGAGAAGGGAAGCTGAAGAACAGGTTGTTAAAAATAGATGTCTCCCCTGTGGTCCTGACTCATAACATTTGTATTCAGCTTTTCCCAGAACTCAAGCAACGTGTAAAATATGTTAGCTTTAAGACGGAGACATGGGGAAAGGCTGCGAAGCTAATTAGATGGTGTTTTATCCAATAATATATTCAGTAGTAGTCTGATTAAAAAACAAACAAAAGAAGCTCATGATCTCACGCTGTGAGTGGAAACAAGAACAAAGAGTCCAAGCGATGCCAGGTTAATGATACGAGACTGGAGTCAAATCAAAGCCCAGCCTCCAGTTGAATCTGATTTCTGGACTTTATTTTGCTGCCAGAATTTTCGCAAACCTACTGTGTTGGCCTTCTGTATGAAATAACACAAAAAGTGGAGGGACAGAAAAAGAAATGATGGTTTAAGTAAAGAATAAATATTTTCTGAATGTTAGACAATCTTAGCTTTGTTAAAGGTGCTACATTTTAGCATCACTTAATTTGATGATGTGTTACTGGTAGTTAAACATTGTTTTTCCATGCATATTGCAAGAGGTTGAAATTCTCCCTCTCTCGTGTTTCTCAGGTATGGAGAGCACGGCGCCTTCTACAGATTCAGATCCAGCACAGGGCGAGTCCTGCCTCTGTTTTACATCTATGACTCCTACCTGATGCCACCGGAGTCCTGGGCGGAGCTCCTGACAATCAAAGGCTCCCACAGCATCAGGGGCACACCTTACGACGGCGTCTTCGTCGCCCTCATTGTGGAAGAGCGCCACAAACACGACATCCTGGCCAGCGGCTTTGATGGCATCTACACCTACTTTGCCTCCAACGGCTTCTCCTTTGGCTCGTCCCACCAGAACTGGAACGTCATCAAGGCGTTCTGCGATGGAAACAATCTTCTATTTATTCCCAGCGTTGGTCCAGGGTACGTGGACACAGCTGTTCGGCCGTGGAACAACCATAACACCAGGAACCGAGTTAACGGACGTTACTACGACACGTCTCTGCAGGTGGCTTTGTCTGTCAGACCAGAAATCGTCACCATCACTTCCTTTAACCAATGGCATGAAGGCACGCAGATAGAGAAGGCTGTACCCAAGAAAACAGTGACCCGTTTGTACCTAGACTACCAACCTAACCTGCCGGACCACTACTTGGAGCTCACGCGCCAGTGGGCCGAGAACTTCAACAAGGAGAAGGACAAGTGGCTGATGTGAGCGGGGCTTTGTTTCCCTGGTAGATGCCGAGAGCATGACCAGAAAAGACATTAAGTCAGCAAAAGACAATCCGTTTATGTTTATCTGCCTACCTTGTTTTGCTCCAACTCTGAGCCCCTCTGATGAGATATCCTCTAAATGTTCACTCTACCCTTACTGTTTTTAATCACTAACATGTTTCTGTACAGGTTAATAACTGATAACTGATATGTTGAAGCCGTCACACGGACGGACAGATGATCATCGTTTCCCGATAACAGCTCTGTTCAGTCTCTGTTTGCGACATCAAGAAAGTGCGTCTGTGTACAGCAACTCTGCTCTGCGGGCTCTTTTTCTTATTTTCCTATGATGAAAGACTGTTCTTTCCTGTATCTCTTTGAAGACAAATTAAAATGTGTGTCTGTTTGCTGTTGGTGAATCAGTGGTGTCACTGCGCAAGAAAGGTTAGAAATGATCAAAGAAGTCTGCCCTGGGTTGCAAGGATGTGGTGTTTCCGTCCGTTCCTTCAGACATAGTCTAAGTTGCATTTGTTTAGTGCTGGTGACATGATTAGAGTCGGCAGAATACAAAAGATGAGGCAGGAGTAGAACTGCTGAAAGCTGTTCCAGCTGGTCTAAATTATGGGTGCTTTATGGGTTGAAGAGCTGGTTGGCTAGAGTCCTTTTTAGTCTACAATGTGCAATTAAAAGTATTATATTGAACAGAGTTTTATAGAATTCAGAAACAGAGGAAATCTGGTACAAACCTCGAGCTTAAAGGAGGATTCTGATTTACAACCTGGGTCTTGTTTCCACAGTTTTAGACTATCATTGCTATCAGTTATGGTAACATTGTACTCACCGAAGCTGAGATCTGGGAACACGGTGACATTGCAACAACAACGTCTGTTCCCCATCTGACAGCTTTTTGTTGCTATGTTGCCACATTCCCAGGTCCCGAGCACGAGGGGATGAAAGCAGAGTCGAATGGGGATAGATGATGGGCAAGGCGATGTCACTGCAAAGAATCACGGGACTGAGACTCAATTAGGTTCGGCCTCGGGTCAAATAGTCCTTTTTGCTTCGGAAGGTTCCTAACTGAGTGAAATGACCCGGAAGTATTTAAGTGGCTGCCATGATGAGAGCTGTACGAATTCACTAAACTGCTAAGGGAAGGTGCTGGACCTTCCTTTACGAAAGGAAAGCAGATAATGCCGCCCCACAGTATCTTACGGCAGCAACATTTAAAGTGACGCACCATTCGGCCGTCCATGAAAACAAGGTTTAACAATTATACTCATACAGTCATAGAGTAATGGGATTCATGTTGATGAATATGAACAGACAGTTACAATCCTTACGTTTCAGTTCATATGTATTTATTTTACAACTAAATATAGGAACACACTACGTACACTACGCAGAGATGAGAAACAATATACGTGAGTTAAATCTTCAAAAAGGTTTAAAAAAAAAGTGTTACTGCAAATGCATTTACAGTCGAATAATTTCCCTAAATCCTTTGCATTAACATGCTGTGTTTCACAGTATTACTGTTCCTACAGTAAAATACTGTAATCATAGACAACCAACAGCCATATATTTTAATTATTTTGATATTCTGCACTTATACAACTTTTATTCCCACTGTTATTCAAGGTGTTGTATCCTCTCCTTAAATTGAATAATTCAACAAAAGCTTCCGGTCTCGATGTAATGACTGACTAAGCACACAGGGGGGTGCTCTTGGTTTTGTCTTAGCTCTGCTACAGTTGTAGGATTGTAGTAGATGTAGACACTCAGTTTATGAAGCAACACAGTCAGGAGTCACATTCATGGTTGACATTTACATAAATTTAACTTTTTGGGTGAATCCGAGCAGAAGAATTTTATGTTCAGCTCCCTCTGTTGACATCATGTGACACGGCACCCGAGCATCAGTGACGACACTCCGGGTCCTGGCGAAAGTCAAACTGGGTAAATCAGACAATCAAGGCGTCTCTTAGATTTAGCTTTAAGTGTTTTTTCTAACCTGTAAACACATTAAACATGAACTAGAGCTACCGGGAGGCTATGGGCGCAGGTGATGAGCTTTGTCTCTTTATCGAGATCAACAGTTCTGATGAGTTTGGTATTTCATGAAATATTAAGGTTTGCCACAATTTATGCTGCTATTCAATACCTCAGATGTTCATTCCAGATGATCCGCCTTGAAAGTCTCCTGATCTTATTTAAAAGACCTCACATTTACAGAATGATATCACAGATCTTTGGGACAATCATCCTCTGCATACATGACGGTATGAAGGCAGACAGGAGAGTCCACCCAAGAGCCGCAAGTATCAGATCAGCAGAAAATGAATGGGTGAATACTTTGATAATCCCTTACTTTTAATATTTAATGGTTCTAGCATCTTAAATGTGAGGAGTTGCTGCCTTATATTGACTAACGTGATAGTCTTTCTAATTTGGACTGCAGGTCAGACAAAACAAGCCATTGTTCACTGCCCTGTTAATGAGCAGCCTGCATGTGGCACAAAAAGAGCTTCGCTGTATTTAATAGTTTTGTCTTTTGACCATTTTCACAGACTGGCTTTACATTGAGCCTTGATGTCGGTGACAAAAAGGTTTTGGTGTCTTATCTGAATCAATTACTCAGCGCCTTGCCATAACATCCTCCTAGAAACAAAGTGGTGGTATGTAACACCGCCTTCCGCAGTATGAAAAAGAATACAATAAACATTCATGGTGAAATATGTGATCTATGCCAGTAGAAAACCATGAAATGTTATATTTCTGTTTCACTATACGTAGCCTCTTTGGCTATATGTAGAAATCCTTTAAGAGGGAAGACTCACCAGAACATTCAGATTGAATAAACAGGAGATAACAAAGACAAACAGTTGTGACAAAAGTACTCCGTTTATTATAATCAATGGTTGCGACATTACAAAGTCTGTAAAACAACATTACTACTTACAAATAAAAAGAAACATGGGTGATAGAAAATACCGCAAATCTTAAAAGGACGCTTGTTACTCGTAGATTTCTTTTCTGTGTGACTCTTGTTCTCCTCAATCTACAGCAGGCCTTGTCTCTTCAGATCCTCGTAGGTCTTCTTGTTGACCACGTTGCCACTCGAGTCCTCGTACTCTTCCTGAAAAAATACACATGAGTCACAGAATGAGCATTGCGATATAAAGCAGGAAGCGCCGTTTCCCCAACAAGTCGTCCTGATTCCATCCGTGTGGACTCACCTCTGTGTCTGGCTGCCACCGCTCTGATGCCTTCTGGGACTTCAGCTTTGCCCACACTGGAGTAACAAACAAACAAACACATTATTGAAACAAACTTCCAAAACTCTTAAAAAAAAAAAAAAACATGTTCATAACGAGCGAGACGAGGACTCTTACAAGAGACAGCGTCCTCGATCTGTGTGACGTTGGCGAAGTGAGCAGTGTTGGGGATTCCCAGGCAGCGCATACCGTGAGCATGCCTCCATTCCTGCAAAACACAAAATACACTTTTGTTGTTCTGGGACGTTGAGCGTGTTTGAAGACGCGCAGATTTCAGACTCGCTCCGTAAACAACGAAGATGTAACGTAAAAACCAAACGTACCGCAAAGTGCCTCTGGAAGGCTTTGGGTCCCCTGTAAGTGTAGTTTCCACAGATCTCACAGTTGTAGTTGATGTTCAGCCCGTGGAGTTTGTAGAGCCAGTATGGAATTGGCTACAGGGAATAAAACAGCAGTCAGAGAACAGGACACACATCTTTATTCAATAACCGTAGACATGTGTAAGTAAACCCCCCCCCCGCTGAGCCAACAAAGACCCCGCTAATAGTGTAAATGTGTTGGTTTCAAACAAACGCGTGGCGTCACCTTGCCGTCCCAGCCCAGCGGCAGGTTCTTGGGGTTGTAGATGATCTCGTTGTCCTCGTCTTCGCTCTCGCTCTCGCTGAGCTGCTCCTCATCCTCTTCCTCGCGCTCCTCTCCGGTCCTGGCCTGTTTCCTCTGGACGTTCTCGTGAGTCAGCTGCCTCTGCTCCTGTAGCCGCCAAGGATGATGGAAACGGTCACGTTTGAGCCTACAATGGAGCCAGCTAACGCTTTTCTCTAGATGTCATGACTGCAACAGTCGATATATATATTCACTCACCCCGAGGATCTCCACATATTCATAGACTTGAGCTTCCAGGAAGGCAATTTCCTTGTTACGCTCCGTGTCCCTGCAGAAGTGATGGATGGAATATGTTATGAATTATGAATTAATGAGCGCGATCATAAGACACTGTCGGCATTAGATTGGATTTTTTTTTTTTTTTTTACACCCGCTTACTTTTTAGGGCCTTTGGCTTTGGGATTCTTGGCGAACAGTGACGGGTCCAGCAACTCCAGTGATTTGCCTTTTGTGCTGAAGAGCCTCTGAGCTCTCTCCTCCAGAGTCCTGTCCAACACACACACACACACACACACACACACACACTCAATCAGCTGTCCCAACTTCATGCACAATGTGCAATAATAGGTGCATTGCACTTATAAATATCAAATGTCAAACAAAGTGAAGTAACTAAATGCTTCCACTTCTCACGACCTGAACTTTGAAGAACTTATGAGAGTTTTGCATTCAGTTATTCAAGACTTTTCAGATACATATCAGTTTATTGTCATTAGTTTCAGAATGCAAACGACATTCTCACCCTCCACATTTCAGCCCCAACGCCATGAGGGCAGACTTCAACCTGTCCAGACCCAAAGAAGCCAACTCCTGCGGAGAGGAGTAAGAGAAACACATCAGTCGTATGAATGAGCAACGATAGGAGAAAAAGATAGATCTCTGAATATGAGCACTTCATGTTTTACCTCCCAAGAAGAAAAGGCAGAGAGGTCCAGATGAGCTCCAGAATGTGTCAACGCACTGCTCGTCTCTTTCTACAGTTAAAAAAGCAAACGGGTCAGATGAGACGTACGGCCAAACCTCTAACCACCTCCACATGTGAACAGAACTTACCGGCCAGCCTGGGAAGGTCCCGTTGTCCCATTTCTTTTCAAAGTCTATCAGCACTTTGCCGTAGAGCTCGTTCTGGTCCAGCAGAGGTTTGACCCGGTCTGTGTAGTCCTGCAGATACTCCAGCAGCATCTCCAAATACCTGCACAAACAACCACCACCACCACCACACGGGGTTAACACATATCCAACTCTACACACGTGTATGCAGCATTTATAATATATTGAAAAGGTCCATGATACGTCATTAAGTCAAGGTGGGATCACGACAGCTAGATATGTTTTCTACTGCAAGTTCCGTACAGCTGTTAAGTATGATGGACCTACTTTTTGTATTCAGCGTTCTTCCTGTCCTTGGGGATGTCAAACAGCTGGTCGAATGAAGACAGATAAGAGATGTACTCGAGTTTCTGTCGGG